CAGTGGCAACAAAGTGGGGTGCACCATTTGCAGGTGTCTGTGAAGGACAGAGGGAGACAGGTGTTGGGGATTGTGCCCCTCGGGACGTGGGCATGGCACACTTGGCAACCCACCACATAGGGATCACTGGGGAAGGTGTAGAAATGTTTCCACAGGGTGGCCTGGAAATGGGGCCCACACTTGGAGCAGGTGGGACAAGGCACAGCTGCTTTCTGACGCTGGGCTGGGAGCCACCAGACAGGGGTTTACCTAAGGCAGCAGGAGAGTACTCTGCAAAGACTCATTCCTGGTTTCTGGGCAGTGCTAAAATCTCTTGCCTTGGGAGGGCCCTGTGGATGGAGCAGGGGAAGGAGGCTCCAACACCTCTGGTGATGCCCTTCTGGAGTGGTGCTCCAGGGGGGTGGCAGGCTGCGTTTGGTGCTTTGGTACAGGGGCCTCTGGTATGCAGGGAGGGAGGGCTTCTTCCCCCCACATTTAGCCTCTTCTACCCACTTTCACCCTCATAAATTCTGATTCATAATAGGTTTCTGATTTTGCAACCCGGGAATATCCTGTTCTGAATTTGCCCCATCATTATAAGACATTCACCAAGTATCCTGTTAAGGTACCATCTGCTATCTTCTTCGTGGTCTCTGTGCATCACACCTCTAGGATATAGTGTGCCTGCACCGACCTCAATCAGTTCCTCTTGAAAGCGAAAGGGATTTTCGTGCCCGCTCCCCAGTCATGCACCGGCCCCACTGCGTATGACCAAGGGAGGGGCACGTGTTGAGAAATGGACTAATTTATGGTTTTATATCTGCTTACACACGCAACACATGGACTGTGCACACACCTGTATACCATGGGCCTAGAGGAAGCTGTTTGCATCACCTACTGTGAGAGAGAATTCACATAGGGAACACTTGCCTGCATTTCATGTTAATGTAGCTTGTACACATTCAGCTCAAAGCCTTATGGGAAGGAGAAGCACATGTTAGCCATTGTGGGCAGAGACAACAACCAAGAAGAAGAAATGCCCCCATTGCTGAAGAGACTAGATGTCACACAGAACATGGACCTGATCTGTATCTGAATTGCCATTTCCTGTTGATGGAACCTTGTTCACCTGGTAAAGCCAAGATTCATCGGTACTTCAAAGAGGGCACAGGAAGCCGAGACTTCACACCTGGCCAGATGGTGTTCCATGAGATAGAGTGTAGAATTTCAAATATTGTCCCAACCCATAGAATACCTGCCCATTTTCTACATGCACCAATGAGGGAAGTCCTGGGATGGACTTGTAAGTAGGTGGGAGTACAGTTTGGCAAGGTGCCACCCACCTGGAGATTCAACTATAAAAGTAAAGGCCAAACCCTAGATCTTTGCTAGCCACCTCCCTTCTCCACGACCTCTATCTTCTTTACCATCCATAAGGTCCAGCTTTCTATCCAACAATCCCTTTGTCTACTTTAAGATCTCTTGGACTGCAGCCAAAGAGGTCCATGCTTGCTGGCTGGTTCTAGCAAGTGTGATTTAGTTAAAACCCCTAGGTATTACTTTCTCCCCTATTCTTACATTGCAACAGACAAGACTTCTGGAACAGGCGAGTATAAACCGATTGTCCTACCTACCTTTAAGTAAATAAGAAACTATTTTTGATATGTTGCTGTAATTCCAAAGGAATCTTGAGTGTATGCGAATGTGAGACTGATTATTTTGTGTGTATGTGACTTTGATACTGCTCAGTAAAAGACAATTTGTTTTGGAAAAACACCAGTCTCGTCTCCATCACTGGAACTGTGTTCAGACACGACCTCTGTAAACTTTGGCCAGAGCTCGCATTAAATTTAGTTGGCCACCAGTTCTCTTCTGACCACCGTGCTCGTAGGATCTTCTCTGCTTCGGTTGGTAAAAAAATTGGCTTTAGGGCCTAGTCCTCTTTTTCTTCAAAGTTTATTTGCTTTTTTCTTGGGTTTTTTTCCTAAGTGAAAGGACATTGTTACTACAAATTCATTTTGTTTGGTTTTTTTTTGGACTTTATCGTTTGGTATCTTTTTCATAGACCACGTGTCCCCCCCCCCTCCCAGCCTATGGCCAAGAGGTGGGGTTTCTTTAAACGGTGCCTCAAGTGCAGTAGTAAAATTGCTCCCCCAGACAGACACTCGCTTTGCCTTCTGTGCCTTGGGGAATCACATTGAGTGGACTCTTATGTACATGGTGTGACGTTCTCGAAGCAGACGAGAAAGTACAGAGCTGCTAGACTTTGCATTGCGCTTTCGGAGTTATCGCTTTTACTGATGTCATCACAGAACACTTCTGGGCATGTGTCAATGTTGACTGCCGCCTTGGCATTGAAGGCTGCATTGTCCCCGATACCGACTAACTCAGATGTCGACCGCCGAATCCTGAAATGCTCGGCCCAGACATCTCAGTCCGAAGCCCCAAAAATGCAGGGAGGGCAAGGACAATTGGCCAGTCAAGCACAATAACCATAAGAAGCCTCCCCCTATGCAAACTCCGCTGACCCCTCGCAGGGCCACGAAATCGAATCTTGCGGGGGCTGCTTTGCTTGACACCTCGAGCAGAGAGCAGCCACAAGGTGTACCGCGGTCGCCTTCGCTGCATCCTATCCAGCTTACTGACTCTAAGCATGATATGGACTTGATGCAAATCTCCCAGTCTTCCAGTGTCGAAAGCTTACACTCCGACCGTGGTGCCAACACCTTTGTCCGTCCTTCACCGTTCCAACCCGATGATTGAGAATGGCCATCGGCATCGATCCATCCACCGCCACCCCCTTGGGATCAGCAGCAATGGCAATACATGTATGAGGCCTGTCCATTCTTGAGTGACATGCTGTGGTTCCCACCCCAACCAGTGGATTGGGACTCTCAGTCTACTACAAAGCTCTCTCGGTATTGAGATCCTCCACCGACGCCAGGGTTTGTGCAGCCTCGATCATTGAGGCCGATGGGCAAACCTCCAAAACCACCACCTCCGATAGTTCCCAAGTTTAAAGGGCCATTGAACCCGGACCCATCGACACCAATGTTGCCTGTTTCCTTTTCCGAACTGTCTGAACATTCCATCTCTTCCGAAACCTCCTCCCAATCAGGAGATGAAAACCCCGACTGTCAGATGGAACCGTCTCCACCTCCACAAGTGGGCAATGATCTTCCAATTTCTCCATCAGAGGATCTCAAATCTTATGGGGAGTTTATCAAACGGATGGCAAACACATTGACTCTGTCTATGGTACAACCCCCGCCTACCATAACGGACTCCGTGTTCAATATCGTACAGATGGACACCTCTACCCCAATAGCCTTACTGATGACGTCAGTCCTGCTTCAGACAGCTAAAATCCCATGGTCTCATCCTGCATGTACCCCATCTCGAGTCGGAGAGTAGATCATATGTATAAGGTGCAGGAGCAAGGCGCTGAATTTTTATTCACCCACCCTAAACCTAATTCCATCGCAGTCACCTGTTCTTCCAAAGGCAGACGCAGTCATTCCACCCCTTCTGAGAAAGAAGGGAGGAAAATTGATTCGTTTGGAAGAAATTTTTATTCTGCTGGAGCACTTGGCATCAAGACTTCAAACTATACTGCATGTATGGGTAGATATCAGTTTGCTCTCTGGGAGCAGATGTCCAAATTTATTGCAGCCCTCCCTGAGGACTCTAACCATCAGGCTTGCAGGATTCAAAAGGAGGGAATGCTTTTGGCTAAGCACCAGCTCAATGCAGCTAAGCACACACTGGATGTGGCCGCCAAAACACTGACTTCAGCAGTTACCCTCTGATGACATGCCTGGTTGCGTTCTACTGCCTTACCACAGGACAGGGCTCTCACTGAAGACCTCCCATTCAAGGGTGAGGGCCTCTTCAGTGCCATGACTGATATGGTCCTGCAAGACCCAAACAAAAGTATAAAGATGTCACGGAATTTAGGGGTCACGTTGGCTCCTAAATTATCCAAAGCGAAATCCTGGAACAAGCCATGGTCCCACAGATCTTCTCTTAACTCATCCCCAGAAACACAGTGACAACACTCACCCACTGTGTCTTCCCACCCTTATGGGCAAAACCAAAATTCTCATCCGCCACTCAGTCTAGGGCTAAGACCCTGAAAGCTCCCAAGCAGAGCCTTTGATTCCTGTCATCCCACCCCCACCCACCTGTCTTCCTACCTGGCTGCCTGGCAGCGAATCTCCATCATCGAAAAAGGGTACCCCATAGAGTTTATCCAGATTCCCGAGGCCCCCAACTTCATAATTACCCCACCATCCAGTACGTTCCTTAAAGAAATCCAGAACCTTCTTTAAAAAAAAAAAAAAAAAGCTATAGAACCAGTCCCAACAGCACGTCAACACAGGTTTTACTCCCGTTATTTTATGGTCCCCAAAAAAGATGGCGACCTCTGTCCTATTATGGACCTCAGGGGACTCAACCGGTTTATCTCCTATCAGCAATTCTGAATGACAACATTACAAAGCATTCTCCCCATTCTCAGTGAAGGTGTCCGGATGGTAACCCTGGACATGCAAGACACATATTTTCATATACCTATCCACCCATCTCACAGGAAATTTTTGCATTTTGCAGTCACGAAAGGCCATTTTCAGTACAAAGCCCTCCCTTTTGGATTCTCAACAGTGCCCAGAGTCTTTATAGAAATGATTATTGTTATTGCAGCATACCTCCGTTTCCAGAGTGTACGGATCTTTCCGTATATAGACGATTGGTTGTTGGTAACAAGCTCCAGAGAGACGCTGCTCAACCATATCGATTCAACGCTGGTCACCCTTGGTGCATTGGGCCTGAAGGTGAATCTAAAAAAGTCAATGCTCCTTCCTTCATTAAGAGTCCAGTTTATCGGAGCAATTTTGGATTCGACTATCTACCTAGCCTTTCTCCCAAAAGGGCAGGAGACATTATCACTCTCATCAATCTAATAAGTACACAGTGATATGCGTCGGCAAAGCAGATCCAATGGCTCTTGGGTCTGATGGCCGCCACCACAGCGGTACTTGTCTTCGCCAGACTACAGATGAAACCATTTCAGCTGTGGTTCCTCAAACGTTTCTATCCACAGTAGCAGCTCCAATCTCAATGGTTCATGCTACCTGTGTAAGTGCTGAATTCCCTACAGTGGTGGGAAACTCCAGACAACCTCCTTCAGGGAGCCTCATTTCTTGCACCCAGCCCCGAAATGACCCTAACCACGGATGCATCCCTGTGGGGATGGGGGGCTCACCTCCAAGGTGTGTGTGTGGGCGCCAAATGGGGACTTCATGTGGCCCACAAACACATCAACTTCCTGGAACTGCTCACCATCCAGTATGCCCTAAGGCCTTTCACCACCTTGTGGCTCACCATATGGTGGCAATCCTTACAGACAACACCACCGCACTATGCTACCGGAGCAGGCAAGGCAGGACAGTGTCCAGGGGACTTTGTCGACTGGCCCTGGAGATTTGGACCGAGTGTCAATTTTGAGGCGTGTTCATCATTGCTGCTCACCTGCCAGGATGGCTCAATGTGCATGCGGACTTTCTGAGCAGGGGAGGCACATCCCTCCACGAGTGGGAACTCAACTGGGCTTACCTCCAACCAATTTTCCACAGATGGGGTCGCCCAGAAATAGATGTGTTTGTGATGTGTCAGAACACCAAGTGTCATCTGTTCTGTACCAGGGCAGGACAGAACCCACTGTCCTTGGGGGACAGCCTTCTTTTCCCATGGTCCCACAGGCACATGTATCTGTTCCCATCAATTCCTCTACTTACCAAAGTGCTAAGCAAAATCATGAAGTGCATCCTCGTGGTGCCACGGTGGCCACGTCAGCACTGGTTCCCAACTCTACTTCACATGTCCCAGGACACCTTCATACATTTCCCACTGGCACCAGATCTCCTCCTGGCTCAGGAGGGCAGAGTGCTTCACCATGATGTACCACACCTCAAACATACGGCGTGGAGGATCCCCTAGCACAGCTCAAAAACAGGATAGACGTTGTTCTGTTGAACTGTCAGAAGCCAGCTACATGTGCTTCCTATGAAGGGAAGTAGAATAAATTCCTGTCTTACCTTGAGATGTTGGGTTTACCACCGCCCCCTATGGACTTGAGGGTAATTTTCGGATTCTTGTTGACCCGCCTGGACTTGGGTCTTAGTTGCTCCTCCTTAAAAGTCTATTTAGCTGCCATTTCCGCCAATCATCCTGCAGTGGACGGCCATTCTGTTTTTTCTCACCCGCAAACAAAGCAGTTTCTGAAGGGCCTCACTCACTTCTTTCCTCTGGCTCGTGGGCTGACTCCCTCCTGGGACTTCCCTCTAGTACTGTCCAGATTAACGGGCAAACCGTTTGAGCCCATGGCCACACCTAGTCTGCAGCTTCTCACGTGGAAGATTACCTTCCTAGTAGCCATTACCTCAGCAAGACGAGTGAGCGAATTGTCTGCACTCTGTTCGATTCTCCGTACTTGGTTTTTCACCATGATGGTGTCACCTTGGCCCCAGATGTCTCTTTCCTGCCCAAAGTTGTTTCCGAGTTCCATTTGCAAGCTGACATTGCTCTTCTGACGTTTTTCCCGTCCCCTACGAGCGACAAGGAGCGCCATCTTCATACTTTAGACGTCAAGAGAGTCAGACTCTTCTACCTCGATAGAACAAGGTCATTCCATCAGTCACCACCCTTGTTTGTCTCCTATAGTACACCTGTGCTGGGGAAGAAGCTCTCTTCGCAGCGTCTATCCAACTGGATTGTGGAAACCATCAAACTATGTTACTTACTGGCCAAACGGCCACTTCCGGTCCTGCTCCAAGTGCACTCTACCTGGACAGTAGCCACGTTCACAGCCTTCCTGAGAGGTTCGTCGCTCACTGACATCTGTCAAGCAGCAACCTGGGCTACCCCTCACACATTCGTGAAGCATTATGCCCTGGATGTGCATCTTCATCAACGTTCCATGATGGGATGGGCAGTGTTGCAGGTGGCACAAGTCTAGGACCTTCAGCTCCCTCCTCCAGGTAGGCCTGTTTTTTGCTTGCTATTCTCCCATAGGTGTGATGCACAGAGACCACGAAGAAGATAAACAGGTTGCTTACCTGTAACTGATGACCTTAGAGTGGTCATCTGTGCATTCACACCACCCGCCCTCCTTCCCCTCTGCTTTCGGTCCTCTCTTTTTTATTACTCTGAGACTAATGGCAGCGGTCAGAAGTTACTGGCGGGATTGTCATGCCCCTCCCTTGGTCATGCGCGGTGGGGCTGGCGCGGAAATCCCTTTTGCTTTCAAGAGGAACCGATCAAGGTCGGCACAGGTGCACTATATCCCAGGGGTGTGAATGCACAGATGACCACTCGAAGATCATCAGTTACAGGTAAGTTACCTGTTTTTCTTCATCCATATATTATGCTAGTTGTCCCTTTGACTATGGTGGCATTTTGTAGCCCTGTACCCTCCAAGGGAAAAGTGGTGTAAACAGCTTGCCGATATCCAAACTGCAGGCTGTTCCTAGTGGGTGTCCTGGAGTCAGCTAATGGCAAATACTTGGTTTAGGCAGAGACTTTCATTTGAAATTTTCAGAAGCAGTTTCATAGAATAATAGAATCACAGAGTTGGAAGGGGCCATACAGGCCATCTAGTCCAACCAACTGATCAATGCAGGATCATACATACCAGATTATTTTGTGGGTGCACGCTTAGCAAATCAATTATGCATCCTCATTTGATAATGTATATAAAATACTTATTTACAGATCCTTAAGAGATACTAAGATGACACAGTTCTTTGGACACAATTTTACTGAAGACAGGTGGCGCAAAGCAGCACTGAAGAACGCTTTTGCTCTTTTAGGAAAACAACGTTTTGAACATTCTGCAGCATTTTTCTTGCTGGCTGGTCACCTAAAAGATGCAGTCGAGGTAAGTCACTTGAAACTACAATACATATTCTAAATATATTCACCAGTGTATGTTAATCCATTGATACAATACATATTCTAAATACATATTCCAAATATGTTCGCCAGTGTATGTTAATTCATTGAGATGTTTGCTTCTGTTCACAAGCTGCTCCTGCATTTCTTTCAAATAGGTCTGTCTAGAGAAGCTACATGATATTCAGTTGGCCCTTGTAATAGCCAGACTTTATGAATCAGAGTTTGAAGTATCTGGGACCTATAAATCAATTCTCCAGAAAAGAATTCTGGGAGGCCGGCATCATAGCAAGGAAAGTCCATTAAACATACACAATGATCCTTTTCTTCGAAGTATGGCTTATTGGATTTTGGAAGATTATAGCCATGCTCTTGATACTCTTATAAGTCAACCCATTTTGAATGAGGGAGGTAAGTCAAAATGCATTTTAAACATACTCTTCAAAATTAATACATGTTTGAAAATAATCTCTGATATATTAGCGGACAGTCAATTTTATATTTATGCTTCGTAACCATTCAACTAAATAAATTCACAAGGGTGTGGTCATGTAGGATCTGTTGCTGTTCACAACTATCATATAGTAGCAAGAATTTCTCTGGAAATCAGAGCTTCAAATTATATTTTCTTCCAGGATTCTACATAGGGTGAAAATGTGGGCCTCAGGTTCAGCTGTTTTCTTCAGTCTTTATCATTGTCTCCTTATAATGGGGAGGGGTTTTAATCTCAAAGAGTCCAGGTGATCCTTCATTCAAATAAGTATGGGACCATACTGTTTTTCCCTTCCTCCTTTTGGGGGAACAGGGACACCCCCCCCTTTCATGAAATGGAGGCTCAGTTGCACTGAATGCTAAGCATTTCCTTAAAAGGCTATTAGAGTTACCATCACTTCTGTGATTTTTTTCAGTTAGAATTCAAATTATGTTTAGTGTGTTCTTTTTTGTTTGCTGGAGGACTTTTTTCTTCTGTAGGGCCCCCAGAATACAAAATAAGAAAACCATATATATACACCTTCAGTTGGCTGGTCAGTTGTGTTTAGTATTAATCACTTGGATTAACATTATGTGTTGTACCATAATTTGTTTTGGACCAGAGTTATTAACAAATATCGAATATATTCTCAGAATTTCAAATGTATCCAGGTGACTGATCATGTGCTTACTCTTTGTTGTCACTTGTATTAGCTGTGTTTCTTTGAAAACTAGCATCTGTTGTATTAAACCTACAAGCGTAAAGCCATTTGGAGAATGCATCTTGCTACGAATTCTCGATGTGGTTATGTAATTTTAGAGCAGTCAGGAGTGTATTGTAGATGAACTATGACCAATATGTCATTATATTCTCTTGTGTGGTATTTTTACAGATGAAGGAAACATCTCAAATTGTCACCCTTCAGTATTTAATTTTTATAATTATCTAAGGACACATCCTCTGTTGTTGAGACGTCATTTTGGTTCTTCTGATTTATCTTCTACAAGGATTTGTGTAACTGGAGAAAATGGACTAGCAGATGAAATCAATTTAGATGAAAGAAGATTGTTCTTCACTGCAGCATATGCTCACTTAAAGACTGGTTGCCCCATGTTGGCTTTAGAAGTGTTATCAAAGATGCCCAAAGTAGTCAAAAAGTCCAGGACTTTAGGGAAAACACCTAGTTTAATAGACACTAGCAAAGGCAGTTCATCTGATTCTCCAGTGCCCATGGACTCAATGGATGACCAGTCTCCCAGCATTGATTGGTCACAACCAGTAGTAAATGGTTTAGGATCATCTTCAGACTTCTCAGACAAACATTCAAACTCTGCACTTTCTTTTGATTGGAGTCAGCCAAGTATGGTCTTTCCAGATGAATCTTTGGAGGTAAAGTGGGATAGTGATAAAGATGAGGAAAGTGAAGATTCTTGTCTTGAAATGAAACCTTTGCAGAAAACAGTGCATGAGAAACCAAACAAAGTTAGTACTAACTATGCAGAAACTTACAGTGAAGCTGTTGATGATGATGCTTTAAGTTTATCACAAGACATCATTTCAGCACAGCTGAAATTTAGGGCATGCCTGAAGATTCTCACCATGGAACTCCGTACATTATCCACTGGCTATGAGGTAGATGGTGGAAAATTAAGATACCAGCTTTATCATTGGCTTGAAAGAGAAGTGGTAGCTCTTCAAAAAACTTGTGACTATAGTGTAGAAGCAGAAGACATTCAGTCAGGTATTAGCCCAGTAGTTGATGAAGCTTCATTAAGTGGAATAGCTGAAGAACCATCAGACAAACAGCTGAAAGTACAGCAGAAAGAAAATTCTCAGAGAAGACAGTGGCTTATGAAATACCAGTCACTTTTGAGAATGTTTCTAAGTTACTGCATCCTCCACGGATCGCATGGTGGAGGTTTGGCATCTGTAAGGATGGAACTGATTTTGCTTCTCCAGGAATCCCAGCAGGTATGCTGTTTTCTTCTTCTTGTTTAGGCATAGTAGGAATGCAAAATGATTATGGCAGAAGTATGTCATTGACAAAATTATGAAGCCTATACTACTTTAAGTAGTGAAATTCATGGTTATTCCTCCAATAACGCACAAGTTGTGTAGATTTACTTAGATCTCTCAGTTTTATTTATTTAGCTCACATGACCAATGGTCTCAAGCACACCCACAGAATACAACAAACATGTAAAATACCAATGTTTAAAACTGTTAACATTTCACATCCAATTAAAATACAAACTGTATAAAGGTTTAAAGAATCATATGTTATTAAGCTTCAACGTGATGGGAAGTATTCCTGTTCTTTGGTGGTCCAGGAGTGGGGCAGTCCTTCAGACTCCTTGCTCCTGGGAATAGCTCCTCCTCTCCAAAGGCAGGGCCAGCAGACTCTTTCGTCACGGAGGGGAGGGGCTTGTCCCCTGGAACCCAGTCTCTCCAGCCCTGCCTTCCGAGCAGGACATTGCAGACAGTGCTCCATTGGAGCACAGCAATTAGATGAAGAAGGAAGAAAGAAGAAACTAGAAGTCAAAGGGCATGAACAGGTAGCTTCATAGCTCCTCTGTTCCCCCCCCTCCTTCTGGCCATTTACAGCCACGGGAGAAGTGTGGCTTCCTTTGGAAAGTCGTTGATGGACTTGGGAGAACCCCGGGGAACCACGACGCTGATGAGACTCCCGCTAGTGCGTCCAGTCCAGGAGTGGGGGACTGGTCGACAAGCCTTCGCTCCCTACCCATAGGGAGCCTAGGAGGAAAGTGGTAGAGTCTCCAGCATCAGCAGGGCTGCCGCAGCTGCACCAGAAAGCCCACGCCTGCTGACTACAATCGGCTCCTTGTTCTTACAGATGTGGGAGGCTGATTCCCAGTCCCAGTCCACAATGGTGCAGTAAGCAGGGAAAGGGATCAGGAGGGCTCCTTCCCAAGGCTGACCCAAATCCCCCGCATGGATTATAGGGGGTAGACGGAAGGTACTGTGGTGGCCGGGGCATTGGAGAAGAAAAGGGGATGGGGAAGAGCTCCTTCACTAGCATGGCAATCCTTTCTCCCCCGCCCCCCCCCAAGGCTAGCTTACCTTGAAGCTTGGAGGCGAAGAAAGACCCAGAACTTGGATGGGAGACCAACTGGGAGTTCTAGGGTTGTTAGGTATAGCGAACAAATACCTCCCAATCTGGGGTTTGTTCAAAGCTCCCCCTCCGTGCTCTTGCCATGGCCTTTGCGGTGGATGCTACACTGAATGCAGTGCAACAGTCGGCCAGGAGCATGGCTTGCAGTGTTACGGCAAGACGTAACACCTGGCTGAGGAGCTGGGATGTGGATCCTTCAGCACAGGCTAAAGTGGCAGCAGTTCCATTCAAAGGTACCAACCTGTTTGGAGAAGGCCTGGAAAGGTACCTTATTGAAGATAAGGATAAGAAGAAGGTTCTTCCCTCAGAGAAGAGGGAAGGAAAGACGAGACGATATCGTAAGTCCTTTTGGGACTCCGGAAGAGAGAACAAAAATGGCAATAATAGATCTTACAAAGGCAAGTGGCAACCCAAGTCCAAAGATGGCAGATCATCGTCTTTCTCCACGAAGCAATCCCACAATGGCAAGAACACGAAGAAAGGACCCGAGGCATGACTATGCTGGAAAGAGGACACAGACAGGAATCGGGCCGTTTTCAGCAGTTTGCACAAGTATGGCTGAGGACGGTCACGGACAGATGGGTTCTAGACACTATCATAACAGGATAGTCCCTGGAATTTTGGTCACTACCTTCAAACTGTTTTATGGAGCTACCAAAGAACAGATCCAGAGTGAAACACAGACAACTGGAAGTGGCCATTGCCCATCTGCTCGAGATAAAGGCAATAGAATCAATCCCATTTCTAGAGAGATCTCAAAGGGTCTACTTACTCTTCTTCACTGTACCAAAGAAGAATGGGGATGTAAGAGCGATTTTGGACCTATAAAGGCTAAACAAGCAGTTAGTTACCAGAAAGTTCAAGATGAAAACGGTGAAATCCATTCTGACCTCCATACAGAAAGGGGACTATATGGTATCCATATACTTACCAGACGTTTATCTACACATACCGCTTTGGGAAGCTCATCACAGGTTTCTTCGATTCGCATACCACGGAGACCATTACCAGTATCAGGCACTTCCTTATGGCCTGAAGTCCTGAATCTGCTGGAGCTAAGGGCAATTAGAATGGCTCTGGAGAAATTCCAGGGAGAAATAGTAGGCAGTCACATGTTGGTCCGAACAGACAACCTAACAGCAAAGGCTTATGTCAACAGACAAGGTGGGACACGCTTCAGATGGCTGCACAAGGAAGCAAGCCAACTGGTGAGGTGGGCAGAGACACATCCTGTCCATAAAGGCAATACATGTGGCAAGTTGGGAGAACACTGTGGCTGAGCCAGCAGTGGGTCGATCAGTCAGAGTGGATGCTCAACAGGACAGTGTTTGGGACAGTGATAGTGGACCTGTTCGCCACAGAACAAAATCGTCAAACAAGAAACTTCATATCAAGACTAAAGAATCCTCTGGCAATGGGCACAGATGCACTACATCTCGAGTGGCCAAAGATACTGCTATATGCCTTTATGCCTTCCCACCGATTCAAGTCATTCAAAGAGTGGTCCAAAGAGTGATAGATCAAAAAGCAAAGATCATTCTAGTGGCCCCATTTTGGCCCCGTTGGGCCTGATTTCAAGATCTGAAGAGACTGTTGGTGGGGAAACCGTGGCATTTGCCCCCAGTGGTGGATCTCCTGACACAGGGGGTGGCGGTTCATCCTCAGCCAGGATCATTAAGTCTCACAGCCTGGAGGTTGAGCAGCAGCAATTGACGGAAATAGGCTACCCACATGGGGTGGTTAAGACCATGCTAGTGGCCAGGAAGGGTTCTACCAACAGAGTCTATCATAACACGTGGCAGGTGTTTCATTCTTGGGGCATAGGGAGGGGGCAGGACCCTCTTAGGGTACCTGTGAGTGAGGTCCTGTCCTTCCTTCAAGAGGGGTTGGAGAAAGGACTTAGCACAAGCACCCTGAGGAGGCAGGTGGCAGCTATCTCTGCCATCAGGGTAACTAGGAAAGGTTCCCTTATGTTAAAAGGTTCCTAAGCGGTACGTCCCTCTTGAATCCTCTGTAGGCATATAGGTTTCCAACGTGGAACCTCAACATAGTCCTCAAGGCTCTGTGTAAGGCTCCCTTTGAGCCTATGGCAATATGTGCCTTAAAGGAGCTGACCTTCAAGACAGTCTTTCTGGTGAGCATCACTTCAGCATGGAGGGTATCGGAACTGAGAGCCCTCTCAATTGACAAGGAACTATGTGTCTTCCATAATGACAGAGTGGTCCTCCGTACTGATCCAGCCTTTGTCCCTGAGGTCAATTCGGCCTGACATACGTCCATGGATAACGTCCTTCCCTCTTTCTACCCAAACCCTCAAGGCCAGAAGGAAAAGGAATGGCATTGCCTGGATGTGAGGAGGGCACTAAATTTCTACCTGGATAGGACAAGGCACATGAGGAGCACTGACTCCCTATTTGTCTATTTCAGGAAATTGTCCCTAGGTAGGAAGGTTTCTTCTTCCTCCCTAAGTAGATGGATATGAGGGTGCATATGTTTGGCTAGGGGTCTGGAGCCTCCCCAGCGGGTTATGGCCCATTCCCTCAGAGGGGTGGCCACCTCGGTAGCCTATAGGGCTTTCCCATCACTGGAGGTGGTCTGCAAGGCAGCTACCTGGAAATCAGTGCACTCCTTTACGAGGCACTATAGGATAGACAGGATGGCCTCGGCAGAGGCTACCTTCAACCCATAGGGTCTTACAGCACATCTTGTAGATGGGGAAGCGGTTGGACCCACCCTGGAGGGTATAGCTTTTTCACATCACAGGAGTAAGGAGTCTGAAGGACTGCCCCACTCCTTGACCACCGGAGAATGGATTTGTCTCCACTTACTGTGAACCTTCCTTCTCGGTGGTCCAGAGTGGGGCAGTCCTGCCCACCTTTGTGCATGGGGACCGCTTCCTTCATCGAGAGGGGTGTTGTTTTTTCTGTCCGTGTACAGACAGGTTAGGGGTTGGTTGACCCTAGCTGGTTCCGTTGAGGAATGGGTTATTTCAAGTTTTGCTGGATGGTTAGCTCCCGGTTGGGAGCAATATGTTGTCAGTTTCCTTTTCAGTGAAGGGGAATGGAGGCTTGGAAAACGACTGGGTTCCAGGGGTCAAACCCCTCCTCTCTGTGACTAAAGAGACTGCCAGCCCTGCCTTTGGAGAGGAGAAGCTATTCCCAGGAGTAAGGAGTCTGAAGGACTGCCCTACTCCTGGACCATCAAGAAGAAGCTTCATGGTAAGTGGAGACAAATCTTCTATTCTCCCTCACAGAAGAGAAAATGTCTTAGTTTTACTTCCAGGCTAAGGTTCCACGTCTTTATTGGTGTTGAGAACTGCTAAGTTCATATCTCACCTGTTGTTTATTTTAATGTCTAGGCTGAAGCTGTTGGACTAGGAACCAAATTGTGAATGAGTGTTCTCCCACCCTGTCAGTTATTATAACTGAACCTGGTGTTTGAACTGGTGGCTTGAGCACAGCAGGCCACAATTTTGTTGACCGGGCATGGGCAGACAGCCAGACAGCCAGACTTCTAATACTTATGCCTGGTTGGCCAGTGAGAAGCTTCATAATACCTACTAATCACAAGAGCCTGTAGTTGGTGCCTAAACAGTATTTTGGGCAGGAGGTGCTGCAGCACAGTCTTGGGTAATTTGCCAGGATAAACAATAAGGTTCTTGGTTCAAGTTTTAGATTCCCAGATATTTTCTTACTTTTGATATTCTATGTGATGGAGGAATGGTGCCATGAACTTTTTTTCCCCCATGTGGCATTCTCACTCTGTTTTCAGCTGCAATTTAAAAAAAATAGTATTGGCTGATAATACTGATCTAGCTACAAATGAAAAAGTGATGCAACTGTACATAATTAGAAATTAGACACATTGTTTGATAGAAATGTCTTCAGTAAATGCAATTCTGTAGGAAATTACTGTTGTTCAGCATTGTAGTAGTATATAGAGTCTTGTAAAACTCAGGTGTTAAACCAAATTTACATTTCCCTCCTATAAAGGAACAGACAGAGCAGTTGCCTATTAATAACATATCAGAAGAGAGTTCAGTACCACTTTTGTTTGCCTGTACTGCAAGTGCCAAAACTGTGGTGGCCAATCCATTATTACATCTTTGTAACCTGACACATGACATACTACATGCAATCATAGACCTTGATTCTCCACCCCATCCAGATGTACAGAACAACAAGGCAAGTACACTGTTACTAATATCAGACATTTAATGCATGTTGTTGTTTTTTTTTCTTAAAACCTGGGAACATTTATATTTATGAATATATGTTTCATACAACACAGAAGTCTGCCCTTTGAGATATTCTAAACAAATCTGTATTAGTACATGTGTATTAGCAGTCTCAATGTCAGCCACTTTAAATAGTTATCAGACATGTAATACCATGTTATCACTTGCATTTGAGTTGGCAATATCTTTCTTAATTTACCCAGACAAGAGTTCTCTCTGAAGAATAATATGTCCTACAAATCTCTCTTCCAGATACATGTAATGCATACATTAGCAGCATCTCTGTCGGCGTGCATATACCAGTCTCTTTGTGGAAATCACAATTATAGGTAAAGATCTTTAAAAATTATATGCTGCACAGCAAGAACAGAAACTCCCTGTTTAACCTTCCCTGTATTTTGGGGTAATAAGTTAACCACAGGTACAACCCACCCCCATTCCCTTATCTGTTCTATTCAATGTTTTTCCTCATAATAAAGGGTTTATAAGATTTATGAGATGTTTCAGGACCTGTCCAGTAAGTGCATGTGTGCTAAATATGATTTCACTAATAAGGCTTTGGGGGAGGCAGGAAGGTAAAACTTTAACACTGCACATCCAAAGTATTTGGTTCTAAATAATCTAATGTGATACAAACTCTCATTTAACAACACTATAGATACTTTAAAATGATGCAACAGTTAAGATAAGAAGGTTCATACCTCTAAGTTTTGAATTGAAGGAAAACGTTACTACTACCCTACATAGCTGTATCCCTACATTATAAATAATAATCTTTAATATAGTGCTGTATTTTTAAAAAATGAAATATGATTCTTTCTCAGATCTTTTGTTCTTTTAATTGGCAACCATGGACTCGGTGTTTGATTACTAAAATGCTTCTTAAAAGCACTTTAAAAGTTCAAAATTTAATATATTGATATTTGGAACCTTTGTGCTGTACATTAAATACGTATTTAGTTAAAATAACAACTGACTTTATTTGATCTTAATTCCTTTTATATAGTTCATTACAAGCAAATCAGTTCACTGGAACAGTTTACCAGACGCTGCTGCTTTCTCATCGACGTTCTTTAAGAACTGCAAGCTTAGATGAAACAGTAACTCCCAATACTGCACCTGCTCAATGGCCAGGTAGTGTTTACTTCTTGGAGTATATATATATGTATATATAACACGTTCTCAGACACTTGCTTGAGGCAGTTCACAAAACAAAAACAGCACCATTAGAAACTATAGATAACAAAATGTTATTCATAAAACAGTCCTCAGGTTAGAAGTGTGCATACAAAAACTCTAAAAATGATATCTTGGTTAAAAGTGTGTATTAAAAAAATTGACTTCCTACATTCAGTAAAGTAGCCACCAGGGAAACCTCAAGGAGAAGGGCATTCCAAAGGTGAAGTGCCACCACTGAAAAATCCCTGTCTCTGATTGCTGTCTGCATCACTTCCGCAGGCAAGAACTCTGGCAATCTTGCCCTTCTTTCCTCCCTTACATGCAGGACTTTCCCTTCTGTTTTCTTGCTGAGCAGCCCCATTATCTATTGTCTTCTTATTTGTTTGTGGCTGTCTCACCCAGTTGCTTTTTTATTTATTTATTTATTTATTTATTTATTTATTTATTTATGGTGGCCCAGACCAGGAAGAGACAAAATTATCTTCGTATATTCTGCTTTTGAAATGGCACACAAGAGGCTTTTGAAAGTTCAAAATAAACAAAATGTTTTATTTAACTTGGAGGAGAAAAAGTCAGGTGGAATCAGGTGTAGGATGTATAACGTGAACAGATAATAAAACGGAGGTAACTTTGTATTCACACAAACACCAGATAATTTGTTGCCACAAGTAAGTGTTTCTGGTATTCAACAAAGTCTTTAAAACTTTGAGGATAGAGGCTTTCTTTTCAGTTACTGCTTAAACACTCAAGCATAGTTTTCTGAGTTTCACCAACACATAAAGTATAGAAGGCAGGAACATACAATCAAGTTCCTAAAACTCTTCTTTATACACAGACCAGGGGTCACTTCTCTTTTCTAAAAGCTATTTCCCTACTTAACTGGGCAGGGATCACATCTCTTTACTAGAAGCGATTTCCCTTTTTGGCTTGAATAGGGATCTCGTCTCCTTGATCTCGTCACTCTCATAGCCTCCTTCCCAGTCCACAGTCAGTGCTTAACTGTCTCTTCAGCTGTTGGTTCCCAACTGTCATTCCTTAACTGACTTGACTCAACAAAATTCTGCTTGAACAGCCTATCACTCAAAGGTTCTCAGATTCTGTTTGTCATTAACCCTTCACAGTCTGTCACAAGGGTACAGGGAGTAGGGCTTGGGAAGAGCATCTTAACTGATGGGATGGACAGTACCCTTGTCTTTCAGTGACTGCTCTTTGCCTGGTTAGTTATGTTAGGAGTCAGATATATAATAATTAGTGCATTATTCTCTCTTTGTTTTTCTCTGAAAGGCACAATTTTTTTGAGGTGGGAACCATTTAATCTTCCTAAATATGGGAATCTGTACCCTATTCTCTCCCCACCACCACCATCCTTTACTCAAGCAGAGAGGGCTTTTGGGCAGCTCAGCATTTTATGCATCTTGAGAATGTGCTGCTTATATACACCTTGCACAACAAGTACAAAGTGTGGTTGATACCCACACATGTACGTACATCTGTAAATTCTTATATTTATATTTGGGCACCTGCTCAGTTACTGTTTTCAGAGTCATATATGCAAGTACAGCTGTATTGTCTGTACTTTAAATGTTCATTTGCATTTAAGTTTGATGCATTGGCATATGATGATCTGCTGTTTCTAGTTTCCAGTATGAGAGGTGCCATCTGGAGTCCACATGCAGTAGTTGGTTATTAGAACAGTAGGCTTTCAAAGGGGATAATGTAGCTTTTTTAAAAAAATTGAATATATATATTGTATACCAGGGACTTAGCAGAGGTTGCAGAAGTTTTTACAGAACTGTAAGTGAATCATCAGCCTTAAAGCATTCGCAGTACAAAGATGGTAATTCCCCTATTATATAGTGTTTTCTTTTTTAATGTATTGTTGTTTTTATTTTTCTAGGAATAACAGCTTTAATACAGTTATTGAATTGTGCTGGGGAAGAAGCCCAGCCTGGGATCACAATTTTGCTATGTGAAATTCTGACCGCAGTCTATCTTAGTCTCTTCATCCATGGTTTAGCTACACATTCCACCAATGAATTGTATAGAATCGTGGCCCATCCTCTGAATGACAAAATGTGGTTTGCTGTCTTTGGTGGAGGAGCAAAGATCCCTAAAAGAGGACAAATTCAACAAACAGCAAAGACGGGTTAGTTTATACTCTTTTCTTTCCTTAGGTTTGAACTATGTGTGAACCTAGTTCCTTATTTTACAAACTGACTCAGATATCTGAAACATTGTCTTTCCTGATATTTGCTATAGTCAGTTTTAAGTAAATTAACATATTTGAGGGATCTAGATATTTTAAGTTCCAGGCATTTGCTGTGCAGTTTCTAAAGAAATGACAGTTTCATTGGTAGTTGAAGTATGGATGTGACTATTTAAAATGGCTGGTGAAAAGTAACTTCCCTTTTTTAAAGATAATCCTATTTCATCATTCTAAGAGCAGTATATTTTTTCTTTCTTTGGCAGGTAGGCACTTCTCTATGCCTAGCCCACATCAGGTAGTAGTATTCTCCATGGAATGTGTGGGGTTTACCAAATCTCTAACAGGCATCACTACTCATAGCCCTACCAAACTTGCAGGCAAGATATTAGCTTCAGTTTTAGGCATTTAAATCCAGTGCTGCTGTGTGATCTTGCATATCTAGAAATAAAACTAAAATGAAAAATTTCTGTTTTGTAAGTCATGGCTTCATGTTTTATTGTTCACTATTTACAATAACCAAATGAATTCTGAAGTGGAAAATATATTGGCCATTCATATGTTTGGAATACTCCCTCTTGAATCATGTTTAAATACTTTCAATAATATTGAAGTGAGGCCATAGCTTGCATTTACCAGAAGTATTTCCAGTATATATATTTTTTTTCATTAAGACTGCTTGTTTTGTTTCACATGACCATTATGATATGGCTGTGGATTTCTAAGTGTTAATTTAGCACATAAAAATAGTATTTGATTCATAGTGAAAATGGTTCACTAGCTTCCATTGACCAGATTAGAACAACAAATAGTAAAGTGTAAAATCTGGCATTCCCATAATAGTGAAGTGGTAGTGAAGTGAAAATATTTCATTGTGGTTATTTTATAATTGGCATAGGAAATGCATAATGGCCTTGTGAAAAGGGCTTGTGTAATAAGTATTTCTATATCCCATTGACTTTATCACAACATGCTTCTTTATATTCAGGTTCTACCCACCCCACTCCCAAAAAATAACCACCCATGAGAAATTTTAGAAAGATCAAATAAATGGTAGCCCTTCATTATATAGACAACATATGTAGGGTTGCCAAGTCCATCTTCGTCCCCAGCGGGGGACTTTGGGGGGCGTCACCGGAGGGGGCGGGGCATCCCCGACGTGATGACATCACATTGGGGACGTCCGCCCACACGCCCAATCTTCTCAGAGATCTGACATGGGGAAACGCCAGCTCCCTGCACTTAAAGGGGCTCCTTTAAGTGCAGGGAGCGAGATCAGCTGCACGGGAAAATGCCAGCTCCCTGCACTTAAAGGGACTCCCTTTAAGTGCAGGAAACTGGTGTTTCTCCGCATGCCTGATCTCGAGGAGAGATCAGCGTGCAGGGAAACGCCAGCTCCCTGCACTTTAAGTGCAAGGAGCTGGCGTTTCCTGCGCGCCCAATCTCCAAGTGGAGATCGGGTGTGTGGCCTGCAGCCACCCCTCTCCCTCCTCTCTCTCAAGAGACAAACTGACCTCTCTCTCAAGAGAGAAGTGAGAGGGGTGGCTGTGGGCGTTGGGGCTTGGGGGCGGGGCTTCCCCTGCTGGCCATTTGACCAGCGGCTGGTAGAACCCCCCCCATAAAAAGCGGGAGACCCCTGCCAAACTGGGGGGTTTGGCAACCCTAAACATATGTGATATCACTGACGAGAATCCAGTTTGATTATGGTCTCACAGTTGGTTCCTTAGGAGCTTTAGGTCAGTTTGTCAGTCTGTGTTCATATATCAGACTAACTGATTTCAATGGGACTTGAAACCCAGCACGTGGTTTAGCATAGCAGCTTTCCATTCTCACTGTCTCACTTACTTTCCAACCCCCGCCCCATGTGTATTTGCAAGCATATTTTTAGTCTGTTCTGGGCAACTTCTTATGAAGAAGGAAGTAGGGCATGGTGTCTGGTTTTTGTGTGTCAGCGTGCACATGCTTACTTTGTATGACTGTAATAGAGTTTTCAGTAATATAAGTGTCTGTACCTGATAAATGTGTTTTTCTACGAGAGCAATTAGAAGGCTACACTAAACCCAAATAAAGTTCACCCATTATGAAAAAGATGCATTTCTGTTTTCTGTGTTGTGGTGAGACAGTTAGTTTTAACATTTCTAGAGAAAGGTTAGTCAGACAATTTTCCTCTTGAAGATACTTTATTTAGTTTGGGTTATTAGAAACAGTTAATTAGTAGGAAAGTGAGTGCCGTTAGTTTCACGAGCACAGCTGATGATCACTTAACACATATAGTAGCAAATGCATGCGAGCAATGCAGAAAAGCACAGAAAATCCTTGTTGCCTGGGACAGTTATGAGTACAGTCTGAAATGTACATTTATCACATCTTATTGTATGTCTGTAAGTAATGTAATGTATGAAATCGTTGTTGGTTTGTATACTGGAATATAGTGGCAATTAGCTTTCCAAGGTAAAGTCTGTATGCAAGCTACAGAATGAGAGCTGGAAAGAATCAAGAATAGACTACTTAAACCATTCTACCCAAAAGGAGGATATAAATTTATTTATCATCAATAAGCAAGAGCAAAGGTTATAGCTTAGAAGAAAAAGAAGAAGAGATTGGATTTATACCCCGCTCTTCACTACCCAAAGGAATCTCAGAGTGGCTTACAACCTCCTTTCCCTTCCCCTCCCCACAACAGACACCCTGTGAAGTAGGTAGGGCTGAGAGATCTCTTTTGAGAACTGAAGGAGTGAAGCTGGAGCTCAGCGTCAGAAGTCTAGTTTTATAGGCAACTGTCCTGTGATGTCAGTGGTGCAGCGTCTTTGCCACTTTATTATTCTAGCTGAGCAGAACATGTCCTTTAATCATTGGGATGCTGAAAGAGAGAATGGGCTTTGGAGTGAATGTGGCAGTTAAAATAATTCCTTCATTTTCGACCTGCATTTTTTTTTTTGGTAAAAAGTTTTATTTCCCTCTCCTAAAAAGGAGAGAAATTTCGCTTTAAAATTCAGAAAAGAAGGAAGGGTATATAGAGGGACAAAGAAAAGTGTCGAGTAATGTTAATGCGGGTATATTAATCTGTTAATACTAAAGTAAAAGTTCAAGTCACAGTTTGAGACTTCTTCTGCAGTTGGATAATCATCTGTTTCTTCTTTTTCCTTTCAAATCGGGCAATTAATATGTTAGTAAAGTCCTTTTGGGATTAGTATTCCTTCTATGGCACTGTCCAGATGTCCTTAAAATTTAAGATGTTTTCCCTTTTTTCTCTCTTAAGTTGTACTTTGGGCCTCTGGCTGCTCCTTTTACTACTTCTTCTTTCACCTCTCCTTCCGAGCTGCTGTCATCTTCGCTTCTTCCCGACATCCACTCTGCGAGTTCTGCCTCTTCTTCTGTATTGGCGTGCTTTCTCAGAAATTCTTGTGCCTTCAAGATAGAGTCAATCCTTTCTCTTTTATCTTTAAATTTACAGACCAGTCCTTCTGGCGTTAACCACCTGTAGCTAATTTGACGTTTTTGTAAGAACAAAGTCAATCCTTTATATTCTTTTCTTTTCATTCTAATTTCAAATGGAATATCTTTCAAGACTCGAATTGGTTGTTCTGCAATTTTCAAGGGTGTTGCTGAAACTGATTTTAAAATTTGATCCCGGAGATTTTGCTTGGTAAATTTCACCACCACTTCTGCCGGCAGCTTATTCTTCTTTGTATAGTTGGAATAGGCTCTATAGGCCAAATCCATCTCTTCTTTTATTTTTCGACCTGCATATTGAGCTGTTTTAGACTGTGGTTTACTCCCTGTTTGAGTTTCACATCTGACTGCTGCAGTCACATCACAGTATTGAGTGCTAAATCTTTTTTGTTACTGTCATTCCCATTCCTTTTTGTTTAGATCATAATAAAGTTGTATTAAAAATAATTTTTAAAAGATAACTGCTTGTTAGAGAGCAGCTCTGAAAGAACTTGTAACTGACCCAAGGTCACACCAGCAGCTGCATGTGGAGGAATGGGGACTCAAACCAAGTTTATTTATTTAGGGCGGCTTACATAAAACCCAACAAATACAAAAATACATCTCAATATAAAATACACAATAAACAGTTTAGACCATTAATATGTCGATGGCGATATAATAAAGTATGTTTAAGAGCACGTTCAGCGGTGCATCCACTCCAGGTAGCTTCGACTGGCAGCAAGTCGGCTCAGGGCGTAGCTGATAAGGTGCAGCTCCTATCGGAATGCCTGCCGGAAAAGCTCCCAGATTAGAGTCTGTGCTCCTAACTACTACACCAAACTGGCTGTCTTAGAAAATTTTGGACATAGTCTAGTGATATGGGTGGAACATAGGCTTTCAGTGCTAAATGTCTTCAGTTCTGTCCTTGGCATCTGCAGTTTTAAAACGAAAAGTAGTAATACTGAGTGACATGTCAGCCTGGTACTTAAAATCACAGCAGATCAATGAGGCAGTACTGGGATATTTATTTATTTTAGCATTTATATCCCGCCCTCCCTGCAAGCGGGGATAAAGGTCAAACAGCTTCTTATCGCATATCCTAAAGGGATGTGGTTCCAAACACATACAATTTTGATAGTTTAAAACGATCACTACTTTTCTTTCTAGTCATAGGAGTGTAAATGAGGAGAATGCCGGATAAACAAGACTCCCTACCCTTGCATCAAAAATAATTATTTATTTTACAACATATATGCCCTGCCTTTCTGCCTTTATCACAGCCAGGTGGCTAACAAAATATATATAATCACATCATTAAAACCAACAAGAAACACATCATTAAAACAAAACCAGAGCTAAAATATATTCCAAAACAATTAAGACATTGGGCAAGAAGGAGGAAACATCAAATGAAACATAAAAAATATTCACTTGCTGACATAAAATGGCACATTGCTCCTGGCGGCGCAGCCCATCCTGGCTGGGCTCACTTCTCCTGCAGTCCGTTTTAAATCAGGCTGCAGGAGAAGTGAGCCCCAGGAGCTGCTGCACCAAATGGATCACACTGCTCCTGGCAACACAGCGAATCCTGACCGAGCTCACTTCTTCTGCCAGTCCAGTTTAAGCCAGGCTTCAGGAGAAGCCAGGCCCTGGAGCTGCCACAAGGCACAGGAGATCCTGACTGGGCTCTCTCTTCCTGCAGTCCAGTTTAAACCGGACTGCAGGAGAAGTCAGCACAAAGCCCAGCCTAAGGGGAGCAATCTGCTCCTGGCGGCACTACAGATCCTGGGGCTGGCTTCTTAAACAGGGCTGCATGAGAAGCCAGCCCCAAGCCAAGATGGCGGGAACAGTCTGTTCCCCTCTGCCACAGCTGATCCTTGGGCTTTCTTCTGCAGTAGAAGCCCGACAAACAGAGGCGGGACCAGGTTGCTTCTGCCTTTCCACTGTCTTCGGATCTACCTGGTAATTCCCGAATATATTCTGGATTTTTTTCAGGATTTTTTCTTTGGTTTTCCTGAGAAAATCCGGATACATGTGGGGTGCTGAGAAAACATTTGGGATAGCTCAGGTAGATCTGAATGCACACCCGTAATCGTGACTTTTTTCAGAAGTGGACTCACTACAAACTATTTCAAAGCTGTGTTGGCCACCTCCTCTCTGAAGGAGGCATTAACTATCTCCCAGACCTAATCAGACAGCCCCCCCTCCAGTAGCCTGGAAGGTCCAAGGTCGTACAAAAAGGTGGTAGAGCTCACACCATCAAGTATCCAACTGAATAAACTGGAAAGTATTCCAAATAACTGGACGAGTTCTGGCGCCATCTGACCCTGTCACTCCCTAATGCAGAGTCAACTCAGAATAGATGGAAGAGATTTTTTCTGGAGAGTGCTGCTCGAAACAGTCACAGTGAGCCACTGGACAGTCCACCTCCTCCTGCAGGCCAGATCCCAAAAGGCCTCTGACCACCCAGAACAGCTCCACTAGCCTACACTGTACAGGCACAATGGTGTTGGGAAAGTATTGTTTCTTTGCCATCATCACTGCTTCAGAGTATGCTTTAAAATGAGCTTCCACCCGTATCTTATCAGGTTTGTTCTGAGTCTTCCTTCACTGTTGCTTTAGTCACCCCTTGTCTTTTAATCGCCCACAGCAGCTCAGTAAACCAAGGGGCTACCTGGGTTCTAACACTTGAGAAAGGGCACTTGGGAGTGATTGTGTCAGCCGCCGGGGTCATTTTTGCATTCCAGAGGGCAACCAGGACACCAGTCATATCAGTAGATTCCCCCACTACTAGTGCAAAGTCTTGGTATCCCTGTAAGTCTAAACCTGAGCAAATAGTGATCTGGCCAGGACAAAGGAACCATCATTAATTTCTCCACCCTTAGAATGAATTCCTCTCACCCTCAACAAAATACCAGATCAAGAGTGTGACCTGTGTAATATGTAGCATCAGTTATTACCCGAGTTGGGCCTATGTTTGTCATGGCCGTGGTATCTTAAGCCATGGCTGACAAGACAGCCTTGGCACAGTGATCCACCACAACATAATCCTATGGAATGTTGTACATGTGTCTAAGGTAAGATAGCATATGGGTACTATCCATGGGCCTATGGAGACTGAGGAAATAATGACAGCTACCTAATTATCTTCCCAATCTCATTCCCACATTGCCTCTGAAGCCAATTCCTCCCCCCCCCCTTAGCAGTCTCTTTGGAGGGAGGGTGCAGTTGTCTTAACAACTTTGGCAAATTTGGCTCAGAGGAAACTTGATGATGGTCGAAAGTATCGTGAAGTCACAGCCAACTTATGGCAACCCCATAGGATTTTCAAGGCAAGAGATGAATAGAAGTGGCTTGCCATTGCCTGCCTCTGCATAGCAACCCTGAAATTACTTTGTGATCTCCCATCCAAGTACTAACCAAAGGCAACCCTGCTTAGCTTCGGGGTAGCCTTGGCCATCCAGGTGAGGGCAGGAGGAAACTTACTAGGTTGTTATTTGGAAGTGGGGATTGGTTCTTCTGAGAGCTTTTTTCTGAGCCTAGCTCCTTCCCAAGTAAGCACTTGTGGACTTCCATTTGTTTCTGCTTACTATTTTCCTAATTGGCCAGTCTGTAGCCATTCGTTCTTATATCTAGTTTTCTATAACCTAAACTCTTTTAATCTGTGGGGTGGTTCTCTATGGTATATCTGTAGAAATATATTTTCAGTAAATGAAATTTTTGAAAGCTAAGTGTTTTCAACGTCTGCTTATATTATATGTGCATATAATGTGTGCATATATTATATATTTTGTACAGTGTTCCAGAAATCCTAGCAATAACTGAATTGGAGAACGTTGTTTCAAGATCTTGTATGTACTTGCCTAGAAAAATACATTTCTGAGAATAGTTTGCCATCTGTGAATGGGCAGTTGTATTTTGATATGGTCATCCTTCTTTGGTACATAAAATTGTGACATTCTTAAACTATGCCAGAGAACTTAGCAGTTTCATAAAGATAAGCATTTCCCAGTGTATTGAGAATTTTTATCTTTTTTAGAGTGATAGCATTTCTAATGAATGTCAGATCTGAATACTTAACAATAATGTTATTGTTTCATAATGTTAGTAATACTTTTGGAAGGTAATAAGAAGCTATCCTATGGGAAACTATTGGCAATTTATTCATAAGTTATTCAAGATTCCCGCCTCTTTTATTTTATATGACACACAAATGAAATAATTTCTTAAGTGATGTTGTGCAGTAGAGTAGGCAGTATATGGTTCAAAATGTATGAGTGCCACCCTCTGAGCCTGCATGGTACAATATTTTGAGTGCCAGATTTTGATGTGTGATGTCTAGGTTCTAGTCTCTGTATTACTGAATACTATAGAAAGAACTCAGTTTTACAGATCAAATTTGAAACTTTAAAGTAACAACTAGAAATCCATATTACCCTTCATTTAGTGTGTTCAGTTGCATGACAGCACCCCTCCCCCCAAAAAACCCCCAAAACTCAGACCCAAAATTTGCCATGCAAAAGTAGTTCTGTGGCACCATGCTACCAACTTTATTGCAAGCTGTTGTTTTGGGCTTCAGATGACAAATGGAATGCAAATTGGCTGTGCTAAGAGTTGCAGTTTACCATTGCAAACTAAGGAATGCTCAGAATCTTGCTGCTTATGCAAAACATGATACAGTTTGAGTTTGTAGTGGTTTCTTACTGCCAAAAATATTATGTAATGCTTTCATATACCTGTGGTCTCACTGCTAATTTATATTACACATTTAAATTGATCTTATTAACGTAATACTTGTCAGTTTAAAAAGTTAATCTCAATCAGAAATGCTTCAATTAATTTTTGCATTATGGGGAAACAATCATAGTCTTAATTGCATTCTTTGGTTTGTGTTTTATGGGTGTCTTATGTTTTTGTTTTGTTTTCTAAATGTTCATTGATTTGCCTTGTTTAAAGGCTGTTCTGTACTACAGAGAGCCTTCCTAATTAAGATAACAAACCCTAGTCATTAAGAAGTAAATTGTCTGCATCAGTGAGGGTTTCCTGTAATATCACTGGAATTGATTTGATAGTCTCATATGTGATAGATAGTTGGTATGGCAATCCAATTTTCAGAACCCACATCAAAGAAATGAGATTTAAGCACAGTGGCTATGGCTTAGATGATATACATAGGGTGCAGGAGAATGTCAAAGGATCCATATTTTTAAAGCTCTGTATCATGTAACATTTTTATTAGTGTAATATTTTGTGCCTTCATTTTAGCATAAGATTTTTTTTAGCTCGAACTAATGCTCTTTATTAAGCAATGCATGTGCATGCTTGTTATGCTGGCTAAAAACAAAGCAAATTATACAAGACTATATTACAATGGTTATGTTTTTTATCTTTGAATGAAGGTAAGTAGCATTTAAGAACCACTTTACAGTTCTGTTTTAACAAGAATATTATAAGCGGACTAAATATTTTGAAATAATAAATGTTAAAATACAGAAATACTTTATGCCCTAATCTGGAAAAGTGGGAGGGAAGGTTCTAAAAAGAAATGTCATGCTTTTTTGGAGTGGCAGGTCTGGATAGGTCTGGAAGCTACTAGACTAAAGGGTGGGGGAAGCCTGACATTCGATATAATGGGAAATGGATGCGAGAGAGTTTAGTATTGTGTTCCTGTCTCTTGCCTGAAATATTAAAGGAATTTTTATTGAACTGAAGGTTATATCCGGAAAGTGTTTTCAAATTTGGTGTGTATTTTTTAAATTTTTGTAGCTTGTCCTCCTGTAGATGATGGCGAGAAACAGCATAAACGGTTTAGACTGTCATCAAAATCATCTCCAAAAGAGAGTTTGCATCCTACTTCTTTACCTTTGGTAGAGCAAGACTCTTCAAATTACAGAGAGAAGTTTATCCCCCCTGAACTTAGTATCTGGGACTATTTCATAGCAAAGGTAACTTTTTTCACTCTTGAATAGGGTTGCCAACCTTCAGTGGGACCTGGAGATCTCCAAGAATTAGAACTCATATCCAGACTACAAAATGGAGAAAATGGTTGCTTAGGAGGGTGGGTTCTATGGCATTATACCACACTGAGGACCCTCATCAAAATTTACCCTTCCCAGGCTCCATCCCCAAATCTCCAGGAATTTCCTAACCCAGAGTTGGCACCTGTACTCTTGAACTGTCTCTGCTAAGTAAAAAAGTGCTGCTTTCCCATTCTTTACAAGCTGGAGAGATGTGCAAGTGAATTGTTTTTTCTTTGGGGAGGGAACCAAAAATGACATGACAAATCATCATAACAGAAGTGTATATTATGGCGAACCTTATATGAAGAAAAGTCTAAACTAGATTAAGGACAAATGAAATATAAGGAAGTTCATTTGGAGAATGTGTCAGATAACAAAATGAAAGTAAAGGCATGCTAGACATGCAAAAGAAAAACTCAAGACAGTGGGGAGAAGGGAAGCCTGACATTCATTTGGATGTACATTTCTAAGGTTAAAAGGCATAAAAATGAATTATTATGAAGCAGATCCCTACAGAAAGCTGTACAGGTTTTTTTTTTTAATTCAGCTCTGTTGTGGCATGGTTTTTGTTGTGTGGTGTTTGACATTTAGTGCTCACTTAATCTCTGTTTAGCCATTTTTCCCTTCATCACAAATGAAAGTTGAATATGACTCTGAGGAAAGTCCAGAAAGCAGTGATGATGAAGATAGTGATGATGAACACTTGAAGCTTCAAGAACACTCTAATTCAAATTCATATAGGTAATTTAACTTTCTTTTACTATTTCTGCAATTTTCCACCCGTGAATATGTGACTTCTAATGCTACCTTAAACTACACACTCACATGAGCCTATGGGGAGGGCGGGGTATAAATATGAAAATAAATAAATAAATAAAATAAAAAAATGTTCATACAGTGCATATAAGAACATAAAAACATAAGAACATAAGAGATGCCAATGTTGGATCAGGCCAAAGGCCCATCCAGTCCAACACTCTGTGTCACACAGTGGCCAGAAATACCAGGTGCCATCAGGAGGTCCACCAGTGGGGCCAGGACATTAGAAGCCCTCCCACTGTTGACCCCCCCCCCAAGCACCAAGAAGACAGAGCATCACTTGCCCCAAAGTCCCTATCTATACCTTGTGGCTAAGAGCCACTGATGGACCTCTGCTCCATATGCTTATCTAATTCCCTTTTGAAGCCATCCATACTTGTAGCCGCCACCACGTCCTGTGGTAGTGGGTTCCATGTGTTAATCACTCTTTGGGTGAAGAAGTACTTCCTTTTATCCGTTCTAACCCGACCGCCCAGCAATTTCATGGAGTGCCCACGAGTTCTTGTATTGTGAGAAAGGGAGAAAAGTACCTCTTTCTCTACCTGCTCTATCCCATGCATAAACCTCAATCATATCTCCCCTCAGTCGTCGTTTCTCCAAGCTAAAGAGACCTAAGCGCTTTAACCTTTCCTCATAGGGAAAGTGTTCCAACCCTTTTATCATTCTAGTTGCCTTTTCTGCACTTTTTCCAAAGCTATAATATCCTTTTTAAGGTTTGTTGAGGCTTTCTCAGTTCCCAATATTAGTTCTTCACACTATCAAAGGATCCCCTGACTTTCAGAAGAGATACCTGAGAGGCACAATTATATAGTAAAGGCTTTGTTACCTGGCACACCATTATCCTATAATATAAGCCTAATAATAAATATCCTGAATGCTCAGGTAATGAGCATCACCCAGAGAGAAGTTCCTCTTCTTCAGCCACCATACCACTGCATCTTTAGAAATACATGTACTCCACTCCTGCCTCTGGCCATTGCTAGGTGTCTGACAGTCAGTGCAGCCAGCTGATGTCATCTTTGGATGCCTCTTTACCCCTCAGTCTGTCTCAAGTTGTCGGGATCCAGCTCTTCCTGACAGGTCTCAGGCAGTTGCCTTCTGCATAGGACTGCTGGGCGTGAGGATTGGGAGTAGGGCAGAGCAATCAGCTTTAGTATCTGGTAGATTTGAGTGACCAAACCCCCCTATTCCCCATGAGTGCTGGATAACCTTTTACAGTAGTTATATGGTTATACTGTAACTCTACAGAACTGTGATAAAAATATGATAAAACATGATAAAAATATTCCTAAAATATGGGAGTAAAATTATAGTTTTGAGTAACACTTTCAGTAAATTCGAAAATATTTATAGTTCTGCAAGCAAATTCTGCTTGCCTCTTTGCCAACATGTAGTGGTTAATAAGGTAAGCTAATTTGCCTGACGGAAGAAATTTATGACCACTGGAAAGATAAGGTGAAAATGCCATTATTTTTATTTTTTCTAATTAATGATAAAATTATTAGGTTATGACATAAGCTTGTTAGATTATGATATAGACTTGGACTAGATGACTTTGGAGGTCCCTTCCAACTCTATGATTCTATGAAAAGTATGTGTAATAATCTATAGATAAAAATCGAGGGCATGAATAAATTCAAGGGATGCCTCTGTCTATCAGACTCCAGCATAGTATGTTGATATTTTGACTTTACATACATTCAGTAATGCTTATAGAAGTCCTATGGATTATTTTGAGCATTTGGGGGAAAGTACTGTAATCAGGATTATAGTGGCTAAAATTCTGAGTCAAGGGAATGATTTGGGCTAGTATTTTATTCATAGTAATACTCAAGCAGCATATGCTACCTTGTAATGTAAGGGAGTGCATATAAGACTTTTGACTATAAAAAGCAAATATTAGATTAATCACAGAAAAATATTTTTGAGACTGCAACTTTTGAATATCACCAAAAATTCAATAAATGTTTATTTTATTTAGTTGGTCACTGATGAGACTGGCTATGGTTCAGCTGGTTCTTCAAAATTTGAAGGTTTTCTATCCTTTGGCTGGGCATGATCTTTCAGGTAATTGTCTTTGTAATCAGTTGTCTTTTGTAGAACTCTCCAGCCTATTTTTAATTTTAGTTAAGTGCATCATTTACAGATTCTTCTGATATGTATACTAGTATATGCTTTATTTATGCTACATATTCCTGCTCAGTTTAAGTACTACATTTTCAGATTTACTAATGATTCTTAATTTATCAAAGATGTGTAGCTTAGTTTCTAACTAGGTGGCAGAAGCTATGACAGACCCTTGTCTCTTTCCCAGCACCCAGGCAGGATTTTCCTGCTAAATTTTTTTTTAGTTCTCCTCAGTAACTGAGTCACCCTCCAGTAGCATGTACTTCTTCTTTGTTTGAAAATATTAGATTGTCTCACCCTGTCACAGATATATGTTAGGCTTTAGACCCAGTACAGGAACTTGAGGGAAATACAGGAGCTATCCTGTTTTTTAAACCCTTGTGAAATGGCACTTGAGGCAGATTAGCTTTCAAAAAGAGAATAAAGATTTTAATAAATAGGCAGGGAATATATAAATATGAGGATTCAAGGTATAGAGGTTGCTGAGATAAAACTTTCTAATACATACTGAATTGAGGCTTTTGAACATACAAGAGTGTTGTTGAAGCGTAATTTCTGAGTTTCAGGTTCTTTTCAGTGAGAGGTTTTTGGTTACTCTATATTTCAGCTGTTACACAGAATTTTGAATACAGTTTCTTAGAGAATAGCTTTGTCTTAGTGCTTCTAGGTTTCTCCCTTCAGAGATCAAGGTTTTCCCTTTAGATACTACAGTTTTTTCACTAACTCCTGAGGTATCTAAGCTTTTCCCCTTCACCACAGAGTCTGAGCCAGGGTTCTCTTTCCAACCCTTTTCGCTGGCAAGAAGTTATTCTCCTTGAGCCTTAGAAGCAATAACTCCTTTTACTATTTGGCTTGTATGGGTGTTTTATCTAACTGCCCAGACTTTCTGCCAAATCTTTTTCTAGTATCTGTTGTTTGTATAAAGCTTTTCTGTAGCTTTCTTGACTGAGAATCTAAATTTCCCCTCAGAGTAGCTTTAATATGTTTAAGATGATGAGGTCTGTCTTCTATCTGTAGAAGTATTTTTCTGTCTATTGCCTGTCAGAAACCACTGACTCCCAAAGTCTCTTCCCTCAGAAGCCAAATGCCCTGGCTGCTGATCTAGACCTTAGATTGTAGACTAAGACCAAAAGGTGAATGAAACTTTTCCCCTCCAGATTAGCTATTTTATTTCCTCTCTAAGCTTAAACCGGCCAATCAGAGAGTTAGTAGAGCAGCCAATCACATAAGTTTTCTCTCCAGGAAAGATTAACTCTTGAACTCCCTGACTCTCTGACACAAGCAGCATTTTTAAAAGCCTGCTCTCATTCTGTCACACAAGTGTCCAAGGTTTTGTTCCTTTTCAATAAAAGATATGATTGATATTGTGGTAACAGAATAGCATGAAGCGATACCAGTTAAGAAAAAATATTTTTTGCCTATTTTCAGATCTTCCGGTTAGCTCTCCATTGTGTCACGCAGTTTTAAAGGTACTTCAGCGCTGGGAGCAAGTTCTTCTCAGACGACTTGAAATGCATGGTGGCCCACCAGAAAATTTCATTTCTGTTCATACTTCAGAAGATGCATCCTCTTCAGGTCCTGCACTACTCCGCCACAAAGCACTGCTAGAACCTACAAACACCCCTTTCAAGTAAATACATACGGTGTCTGAACTATATTGTAAATATATGTTGTTAACATTCTTTAGTAATATATGTGAAATCTGCTGTTTGAAGTGTACATTTTTGCGTTCAGTAATGTTGGTCATTTGAGAATTCAATCCTCTTAATCCAGTGGTCTTCAACCTTTCCATATTCGGGACCCGCCTTTAAGCTTCTGGTGTGACAGCATGGAACTCATTGTGCTGCAAGCACGTGATGAGCAGTCACCATTAGATCTGAGCCGTAGACAGGGGGGAAAGAGAGAGGAAATTATGACCTCACCAAAGTCAAGGTCAATACTGTAGTCAGCAAACCAAGAAAGTCAGGGACAGGAAACACTAGCTGAACACTGCCATGGAGAAGTACTGTCCCCCTCTGAGTAGCCTCACTGCTGTACTGTTCTTCATTGTGCATGTAAAATATATCAGGAATTGTGGTATCCTTGTCTGTGCACGCACACTAACAGTGGATCCTTCTTAAAAGCAGGATAAAAGGTACTTTATAGAGGCTCCTGACTCAGCAGGTAGGGTTCTACAACACATCTAAAGATTCTTGACCCTTGAGCTAAAAAACCACTGTCTCAGTTAGTAGTTTCTTGTTTAACCTGACATTGTTATTTTTAATACAGTGCCTAATAGAAGCTTGCATTGCAGCATTAGTGTTAACTGTTAAGCATGCAGTACTTGCAGATGCCATATAAAACCCAATGTAAAAGTTTGATTTCCAGACCTAAAAATGTGGGGAAAGGCTTTTATTAAAGTGTGTGTTACACATGAATTTACCAGGATGCCATCATGAGCTGTAACGCTCTCTTGAGTGTATACTCAGCATAATCCCTGACTCTATGAAAGGCCTTTGGTAGCTGAAATCTTTCCCTGTCCATCTGTCCTTTAGTACTAAATAAAAATAACTATGTTAAAAGATTGTAGGTGGAACATGAAGTATTGACAGAATGTGTAGGAAAGTTTGTGCCCCCCTCCCAATAGTTTCATTTTCGCATGAAAACAGAACACAGGATACTATCAACACTGACTCTGAGCACAAATGTGTCTTCTGCTTCCTGGAAACTATTTCTTTGCCCTGTGCTCATTTACCGCCATTGAGATGGTATAGTCTTGAACACTGAAGTGATCCCATGAGATGTATAAGAACATAAAGAGAAGCCAATGTTGGATCAGGCCAGTGGCCCATCTAGTCCAACACTCTGTCACGCAGTGGCCAAAAATACCAGGTGCTAACAGGAGGTCCACCAGTGGGGCCAGGACACTAGAAGCCCTCCCACCCACCCCCACAAGCAAGAATACAGTGCATCACTTGCCCCAGACCGAGAAGTCCTATCTATACTTTGTGCCTAATAGCCACTGATGAACCTCTGCTCCATATGTTTATCCAGTTCCCTCTTGAAGCTGTCCATGCTTGTAGCCACCACAACCTCCTGTGGCACTGAATTCCATGTGTTAATCACTCTTTGGGTGAAGACGTACTTCATTTTATCCATTCTAACCCAACTGCTCAACAATTTCATTGAGTGCCCACGAGTTCTTGTATTGTGAGAAAGGGAGAAAAGTACTTCTTTCTCTACCTGCTCTGCCCCATGCATAACCTTGCAAACCTACTATCGTGTCACCCCTCAGTCATCGTTTCTCCAAGCTAAAAAGCCCAAAGCGCTTTAACCTTTCTTCATAGGGAAAGTGTTCCAACCCTTTTATCATTCTAGTTGCCCTTTTCTGCACTTTTTCCAATGCTATAATATCTTTTCTGAGGTGTGGTGACCAGAAGTGCCACACAGTACTCCAAATGAGATCTCACCATCAGTTTATACAGGGGCATTATAATACTAGCTGATTTGTTTTCAGTTCCGTCCCTAATAATCCCCAGCATAGCGTTGGCCTTTTTTATTGCAGTCACACACTGTCTCGACATTTTCAGTGAGTTATCTAACTATGACTTCAAGATCTCTCTCTCTTGGTCAGTCTCTGCCAGTTTGGACCCCATCATCATGTATTTATAGTTAGGATTTTTGTCCCAATATGCATCACTTAGCACTTGACCACACTGAACCCCTTTTGCCGTATTGACGCCCACTCGCTCATCCTCGACAGATCCCTTTGAAATGCCTCACAATCCTCCCTGCTTCTCACCACCCTGAGCAATTTTGTGTCATCCATAATTCGAAAGCATCTATTCTTCGGCACTCGGGCTTCCTTATGGTCCAACTCTCGCAGCCCTACATTACTGCTGGGAATACCATTGCTTTTACCATACAGACATTTGTTGGCAGGGTGATGTCTCTACTTTTTATTATGCCGTCTAGGTTTGCCATAGCTTTCCTCCCAAGAAGCAGGCATCTTTTAATTTCATGGCTGCAGTCACCATCTGCAGTGATCTTGGATCCCAGGAACGTGAAATCTGTCACTGCTTCAATGACTTCCCCTTCTATTTGCCAAGGAGTGATGGGGCCAGATGCCATGATCTTAGTTTTTTTGATGTTGAATTTGAAGCCAACTTTTGCGCAATCCTCTTTTACCCTGAGCAAGAGGCTGTTTAGATCCTCTTCACTTTCTGTCATTAGAGTGGTATCGTTTGCATATCTGAGGTTGTTGATGTTTTTCCTAGGAATCTTAATTCCGGCTTCTGATTCATCCAGGCCAGCATTTTGCATGATGTACTCTGCATATAAATTAAATGAGCAGGGTGACAATATACATCTTTGTCATACTCCTTTTCTTATGCTGAACCAATCAGTTTTTCCATATCTGGTTCTAACAAAACCTAAAGCCAGTCACCAGTTGGCTTCTTGACCCTTATACAGGTTTCTCAGGAGATATATGAGGTGTTCTGGTACTCCCATCTCTTTAAGAGCTTGCCGTACTTTGTTGTGATCCACACAATCAAAGGCTTTAGCATAGTCAATGAAGCAGAAGTAGATGTTTTTCTGGTGCTCCCTTGCTTTCTCCATAATCCAGCGAATGTTGGCAATTTGATCTCTAGTTCCTCTATCTCTTTGAAACCCAGCCTGTACTTCTGGCAGTTTTCTGTCAACGTACCGCCTCTGCTTCAAGTGTTGTGAGTCCATGGATCACATGGCTAAGGACTGCACAGCTGCTTTCTCCAGTGGTTCGGATAGCGGGACAGTCCGTACTATTGGGATAAGCTCCGCCCCTTCCTGCAAGGTCGGCTCCGATCTTTGATTCCTGTGAGGCGGGGCTTATCTTCTACAGCTTCCCCAGTTCTTGCCGGCCCTGCTTACCAGCAGGGCATGCTCCGGCAGCGCTCGTTTTGAGCGCCTAGGATTTCAGGAAGAAAACGAAAAAGAGAAGAAAGAAGAGCCGCAGCAGCGGCAAGGAGTCGGGGCGAGCGATCCTGCACCGGGTTGTCCCCGGTTGTTTGTCAGAGCTCTGTTTAAGCCCTTGGCGTCCGTCCGCTGGCCTTACCCGACCTACGGGTGGAGGGCCTCCCCTTGCGCTATTCCAGGGGTACGGAGGACCCTGGTGCGCAAGACGTACCTACGCTGAGGCAGTGGATTACTTATCCATCTTTTAGAGGGAGGGGGTGGCAAAGTCTAATTTAATGGACTTGGACTAATCATACATCACTGAATTATATCCCAGCTATTCTTGCTACAGTCCTGTAAGGTAGCATTACGAGCCCCATGTTACAGACGGGCAGCCAAACCTGAGAAAACTGTGTTTCCCATAAAGCCGATGAAGTGTGCATGCACACAAAAGTTCCCACCTTGAATAAAACTTTGCTGGTCTTAAAGGTGCCCCTGGACTCAAACTTTGTTCTAAAGCCACCTTGTGATGATTGAGAGCCGGGGGAGGGGGGGAGAGATATTGTGACAGTTATGGTAACAAAAGAACCTAAGAACCACATAAGAACCTAAGAACAGCCCTGCTGGATCAGACCAGTGGTCCATCTAGTCCAGCATCCTGTCTCACACAGTGGCCAGAGAACAAGTATAAAGAAAACAGTCGTGAGAATCTGACCCACAAATCAAGCAGTCAACAAGACTTGCAAAAAATGCCTCCTGTGTTTTACAGTCTAAATTCCTACAAATCATAAGAAAATCCTAGAACAAACATATATAATCAAAGATACATCATCAACGTTGTCTCCGGATTATATAACAACGCTTCAAAATTGGATCTTCCTCAGGAAATATTAGAGTGGTACAAAGTCTCTCTTGCTCTTAAAGTGCTTTACAACAAGTCATGAAAGATAATACAATTCATTCAAATAGGACGCTGATCTCAATATGTTCAAGCTCAGATATGCTGCTAAACTTCTAATGGATCCCAGGCGTCTGGAGACGACGTTGATGATGTATCTTTGATTATGTATGTGTGTTCTAGGATTCTCTTATGATTTGTAGGAATTTAGACTGTAATACACAGGAAGCATTTTTTGCAAGTCTTGTTGACTGTTTGATTTGTGGGTCAGACTCTCACGACTGTTTTCTTTATACTTGTTCTCTGATTGGGTCATGGTTGTCCACATTTATCTCATACTGAGTCAGACCATCAGTTCATCAAGATCAGTATTGTCTACTCAGGCTGGCAGCAGCTCTCCAAGGTATCAGGTGTTTCACATCACCTACCACCTGGGTCATTTTTAACTGGAGAGGCCGTGGATTGAACCTGGGACCTTCTGCATGCAAAGCAGAGGCTCTTCCACTGGAGCCACAACTCCAGTCCAGGAGCTATCAGATTTGTATCAAAAGACTATCAGGATAGCAGTGGGATAGATATAAATGGAAAGCATCTTGACTGAATTGTCACAGATTGAGACTATTTTCACATGCACCAAATGTGTTCTGCTTGACACTATTCTCTTGCACGGGACCCAAAAAAAGGGGGGGCGACCAAATCAGTCACCAATTACCTCCCAAAGAGTTTTCCCACTCCAGCTACTCTGCACTGTTCTGGCAAGAGCTATTTTGATATGATTGATTCGAAGAACTTCCTCCTCTTTAGGATCTATGATTGAGGCTGAAGATTTGTCAGTTATTTCTCTCTGCCTACACCAACCACAGAAGAGATTGCCAGAATATGGTATATATATTTTCATTTTCCTGATCTTCCAAGCCTGTCAGGTCAAAGTCCCTTTAGCTCACAAATTGATTTCTGATATCATACGATAAAATTCACTACAGTGTGTCTTTAGGAAGACTTCAGAAAGGGCACTTGATTGGCCCTGACAGAAACAGGACAATCACGGACCATTGGGTCCTAGACGTAGTGAACAATGGCTACAGGCTGGAGTTTTCTTCCACACCCCCAGTCAGATTGATAAAAATAGCGAAACACAGGCACACTGTAAAACATCTCCAAATGATAGCAGCCATCCAACATTTGTTGGATATAGGGGCAATAGAATTGGTCCCACAGATACAAAAAGGTCAGGGAGTATACTCGATATTCTTTTTGGTCCCAAAGAGAAATGGGGACACCAGGGCAATTCTGGACCTCAGGAGACTGAACAAACAACAGTGGCTTGGTGAAGGAACTGAGAAGGTGTGCTGCTCACCAGACTGAAGACAAGACCCCGGGCACCACAGAATTCTGCAGTAAGAGTACCTGGCAGGCCAGGTTCAGCAAATGCAGAGGATTCAAGCAACTGATAGGATTGTCAGCAAGGTTGAAGAGGAGTTGATGCCATACTGGCTGCACCTTATTTTTAGGCTTATATACGGAGTTTCCCTGCATATGATGTTGGGTCAAGCATTAGGTTTATCTTGCAAGCTCAATCAGCTCCTCTATTCATGACAAATAGCAGAACTCAGATCTTACAGTGATTTACTGGTTTCTACTGATGCTCCTTTAGCAGAGGAGAGGCTTTGAGCTGCCAGGCATGCAGTGTTGCAGCTGATCCAGGCCTCTGCCCTATCTCTGTTCCAGGGTCGTTGGGGAGATTGTGGCTGGTCTAGCAGTTGGCAGGTCCATGCTGGAGCCTCCTAACTTGAGGCCCTGTTGGCTCAGGGGGCTGTCTTCATGCTGGCATATCTTGCATTTAGAGGAATTTTTGAAGATTCTGTTGCTCATCTATTTCCCATTGTGTATATTTCCCATTGTGTGAGTGCACAGAGAAAGACAATGCGTTACAATTACAATGAGATTTTCCAAAACAAAATCTGGGAATTAAGTACATGTTGTTTTAATTTTATATGTGTAAGTTATCACCAAATGTAGTTCATATGAACCTTATTATATAGAGCAGCTCTGATTTTGTTCTTGAATTGCCAGAATGCTTAGATGTTTACCTTTCTCTTACAGGTCTACAAATCATAGTGCTCTCTCTGTGAAGAGGCTTTGGCAATATCTCATTAAACAAGAAATGGTCCAGGAAACCTTCATCAGAAACATATTTACAAAGAAAAGACAGTTAAATGAGGTGAGTATATTAATGCTTCTCTATGAAATTGCATACCGTTAATTATGTTGTTTCTGAAACCAATGAGTTTATAAAAAAAATTCACCTTCAGGGCTCTTCCTGTCCCCCCCCCCCCATTATTCTCTCATTCAATGCATCCCATTATCATAAGTGCCAATCATCTGGTCGGTGAAAGTGTAGGAATCCTTGTGTGCATCTTGGTACTGCACATGAGAATCTGAGAGTAAAGGTATAAGGATATTAGAGAAAATCGATCATTCCTTCTTTACCTTTAAGTCTATACCTGACCATTAAAGCAAGTTATTTGTCTGCTATCCACATAAATTAATATCTTTTGGGGGGTATTTTTGTATTTTGTGTGTGTGTGTGTGTGTGTGTGTGTGCGCCTAGAAGTCATGGCAACCTCTGGCGACTCATACTGGGGGCATGGAGGATGTTCAGAGAAGTGGCTTGATAGCCTGCCTCTGCCTCCCTGGTATACTTGCCAGGGTCAGCCCTGCTTAGTTTCTGAGATCTGACAAGATCAGGCTTGCCTGGGCTATCCAGATCAGGGCCACATACATTAATATCTTTGTGTAGTTGTAGTAATGAGACTTCTTGTAAGAAAAATACGCTGTTGAACACATTCTATGAAAAATAAATCCATAATTAAGGTTTGTGTAACCTCAAGTAAAGGTCTGTGTGGTATTGTTGCTTATAAGTTTCATTATGTTCTGTTAGTCCAAGGGCGTTGGTCTGCTGCACCACTCACGTTTAATTTTGCTGAACTAGACAGGCCTGTGGAGCTTCATGAATGCCGCCTTACATTCAGTGGAAGAAAGTGGGATATAAGCTCAACAGCTGGAACAGTGAAATCCATATCGAGACAGTAACATCCGTAGTACATATCAAGGCCATAACATAGTGGTGATTTGCGTCTGCTGTTGTATTTAAGAAACAAAACTATATAACATGTCTTACATCACATTCTACATTTCAGTCATCACTTTCTGCTCACTTTATTCAGAATCATTTCTATACTGAGAGTTAGCCTTTGGCAATGAACAACACAGTCCCACTGCTCAGAGTGTACAAGTCAACTTCACGATATATTCTTTGCTGCTTGCGAATATACTTTTTTTTTTGTTTAAAACATTTATAAGCCAAATACTAGAACTCAATAATATGTAGGCAAATAATGTGGGGTACCATTCAGTAAATCTGTTTAGTACAAAAATGATTAGAAGTGTGTGTCTTCTGTCTTCCTCAAATGGAGAATTCAGCCTTTATTGTCTATACTATTTAAGACTTAGGACACTTTTCACGTTCTTCTAAGAGAATGCTATAAAGAATGGACCTCAACACTTGATATAGTAAGCAAACCAAAAAATTGGGCTATTTTTTCCACATTCTTCTATATATTTAATATGTACTGTAGGTTGAACAAAGTCATTTTCCTATCACAGTTTTTGAAGGGAAAATGTTGAGAAAGAATATCAGTGTTTGAAATATTGTCTCTTCTGGTGATTTTGTAACTTGTAAGTTAAGTGTTAATGCTTGTTCATAAATTGTAAGATAATGGTTTACCTTACTGTCCAGACTTCATGTTATGTCTCATACTGTCTATTGTCATGTGGTTATTCTTTTTTGTCATAGTCATTAGAAGAGCAAAATGAACCTATCAAAAGTCCCCCAGTTGAAGAACATGGAAATAAGGTATACATAGTACTTGACAGAAACTGTTGTATGGGGAAAATATATACCTTGCATGCAAAAACCTGTGAAATGTTGTTTCTTTTAAGATAATTCTGAAATACAGAGTTGTGTGGAAGAGCTCCGTAAAAAGTTCCACAGGGCCCTGATCTCTTCCAGGAGCTCATTCTACCAGTATGGAGCTGCCACTGAGAAGGCCCTGGCCCTCGTTGAAGCCAGCCTGGCTTCTCGGGGACCTCAAAGGGCCACGCGATTTTGAGACCATGATTGTAGTGCTCTCTGGGGAACGTGTGGGAAAAGGCGGTCCCTCAAGTATGTAGGCCCCTGATCATAAAGCGTTTTAAAGGTAAGAACCAGCACCTTGAAACGAATTCGGTACGCTATAGGCAGCCAGTGCAGTGCTTTTAGCGCAGGCTGGATGTGCTCCCACATGGGAAGTCCCAGCCACGTTCTGCACCAGCTATAGCTTCCAAATTTGAGACAAGGGCAGCCCTATGTAGAGAGCATTACAGTAATCCAATCTTGAGGTGACCATCGCGTGGATCACTGTCGCCAGGTCATTGCATTCGAGGAAGGCAACCAACTGCTTGATCAGCCAAAGATGATAAAAGGCTGATTTCACCTTGGGCCTCCATCGTTAGGGAGGTATCTAAGAGCACTCCCAAGTTCCTAACCTCCAATGCTGGCACCAACGGCGCCCCATCGAAGGTTAGGAGTGGGATCCTTACCCTCAGACTGCTTCGACCTATGCACAGGACCTCTTTCTTCGTCGGATTCAATTTCAGTAGGCTCAGTCTAAGCCAACCAGACACAGCTTGCAACACCAGTTTGGGCTAGTCAGACTGGCCGCCCAACAACAGATAGTGTTGGGTGTCATCTGCATATTGGTGACATCCCAGCCCATGTCCTTGGGGAATCTGGGGAAGGGGGCACATGTAGATGTTAATTAACATCGGGGAAAGTACTGCTTAGCGGGTGCCTTTGGGACAGCTGTTCCCCTAATGCCACCCTTTGTCCCTGACCCTAGAAGAACAAGGAATGCCACTGCAAGGCAGACCTCTGAATCCCAGTGTCGGTGAGGCGGTGGGTCAGTAGTTTGTGGTTGACTGTGTCCAACAAAAACTGGAAAAAAAGGGGGGGGAGAAACTCAACCCAAGATGAAACTGCAAACCAAAGGGCTAAGCTAACAATGTATATTATAAAAGTACAAATATTTATTAGGGTGTACACATGTTAAAACATATACTGATAAAAATCTTGAAGTATCAGACTTATAAAAACCTATCAAAATACTAATACATATGATGGGTAAACACTTTCCTACTGAAGACCAAACGCGTTTCGGCCCCTAAGGGCCTTCCTCAGTGGTCACAATTAACAATATAGTATAGACACACATTCATAGACCTGTATACAAGATCTTAAGTAGTCTTGTAAGTCTTGTATACAGAAATCTTTTTTCCCTCACCCTCCATGGTGTATCTTTTAGGAATTTTATTTCATCTTCATCTACTCGTACCGGTTTTTGACTTGCCTTCCATAACGTTTTGTCTCTAGTCTCTTTTCTGTTGAATTTGATATGTATTTCCCTTGGTGTTTTATTCCGTTTTGCATAGGGGGGGAAGGAAAAAAAGAGAAACTTCATTATTACATCCAAATGTATATAAAATCATTGATTGAAAAATGATTCTTTCAAAGATAAAATTACCTTATATATTTGTAGTTGTATTACTGGTGTTAGTGATGCGCCATAGGTACAGCTATATCGATTCTACCAATTCTGAATTAAAAATAAATGAAATGAAATTATTAAAAAAAATTAATACATCCAATTGTATAAGTTTAGCCCCAATTAAAATGATTAAATTGGTCAACAAACCTGGTACCAGAGATTTCATAGGTCTGAATGTGTGTCCCTCCATCAAGGTAAAGATTCTGTTACAAGCTGCTGTAATGGCTTCCATATATAGTAAACCTGGGGTGATGCAGTCACCTACTTCCATTGCACAATGTCAGCCAGGAGGGATACAAAATGGGAGGGAGTACAGAGGAGGGGGAGATAAGGAGTCGCATGGGGGAAGGGGAAAACAGGTCAGCCCAAAGAATTCACAGAAAACAATTATATATGTTCACAAACAGCAAGTCCAGTCCACTTCTTCATTCAATCCCAAAGGAGCCCACGTCTGCAATTGGTGAATCCAAAACAACTCTCTTCTCAGGAACACTCTGCACATGTTCAAATTGGTAGTCTGTACAGTTTCAATAATCCAAAATTTTAGCTATTTATCTGTATGTCCCAAATCCAGAAAATGGTTCACTAATGGTGCAGAACGCTTATGCAATCTAATGCAGCTTCGGTGTTCACCTATTCTGACTTTTACAGGTCTAGATGTTTGACCCAAATACAATTTCAAAGGAACCCACGTCTGCAGTTGGTGAATCCAAAGCAACTCTCTTCTCAGGAGCACTCTGCACATGTTCAAATTGGTAGTCTGTACAGTCTCAATAATCCAAAATTTTAGCTGTTTATCCGTATGTCCCAAGTCCAGAAAATGGTTCACTAATGGTGCAGAACACTTATGCAATCTAATGCAGCTTCGGTGTTCACCACCAACAGGTCCAATAACAATGACACTGCCGAACCGCCCCGATCCAGATTACTCCAAAGGTCGTCACTGAGGGCAACCAGTGTCGTCTCCATCACATGGCCTGGTCAGAAACCGGACTGGTAGCCCATCGCAGCCAGCTTTAATTAGCCACAAGGGGCATGGGTCAAGGCTGCAAGTGGTCAGGTGCACAGTTGAGAGTAGTTTGTAGACATCCTCTAGGCTGAGCGGACTGAAATAATTAACTTAAAATGAAAGTAATCTAAGCTTTTTTCATTATCTGAAGAAGTGAGCAGTGACTCACAAAAGCTTATACCGTGCCACAAATGTTGTTAGTCTTTAAGGTGTTACTGGACTCTTGCTCATTTCTACTGCTGCAGACAGACTAACATGGTTACCCATCTTTATCTAAGCTTTTCTGTAAGTTAGGTCCACTTTTCAGAGCATATGAATAAACTTGTATGAAGTAAGTCTAGATAAGTAAGAGAGAGTTGTATATCAAGTAGAAGATCATTTCCATGGCAGGAAAGTATATACAAGTGGGAAATAGAAAATATATATCTTAGTTTAACTCAGAAATCTGTACCTGTAGAATGAAATTCTAAGGAATGTAAGATATTTCTATGCCACCTCTTCAGATCCAGCTTGAGGTGGCCTACACTTAGAATCACCATAATATTAAAAACAAGGCAAGAAAAACAGCATTATAAAACATTAAAAACAAGAAAGAAATGGAAATGATTGCTGTAGTGTAACAACAAGATGGTATGTTTTAAAGTACACATAGTTTTTGTACTGGCTTGCAGGCTCTGAGTACCAAGTTTCAGAAGCCAGGCAGGGCAAGGTCATTCAGTCCGAACTCAGGGTTCCAGAAGTCAAGCTAGGCAAGGTCATTCAGTCCTAAGACAGGTTCCAGTAGTCAGGCTAGGCAAGGTTGTTCAGTTCAAGGCAGTGTTCCCTCTAAGCTGCGCTAGGTGGTGCTGGTGCACAATATTTTAGCTGGCTGCTCAGAGCTTTAGCTTCTAGCTCACAAGCATTTTCCCTCCATTGGAAAAAATGGAGGTTGGGGGCACCTTCTGTGGCCCATAGATTTAGACCCCCTGGTTTAATATTTTTGAAACTGGGGGGGGGGGGTTGTTGAGGAGAAGCACTAGCAGCTATGCTGCAAATGTGTTTCCTCTACCTCAAAAAACAGAGCCCCAGACAGTGTTCCCTCTAAGCTGAGTTAGTGTGGGCTAGCTCACAGTTTTTTAGCCTCCAGCTCACACATTTTGGTCTTAGCTCGGGAAGGATGGCTCCAGAGCAACCTAATTTATGCAGTAGCCAAATCGCTCGCTCACAACTTTAATGCCAGTAGCTCACAAAGCAGAATTTCTGCTCACAAGACTTAACAGCTTAGAGGGGGCATTGGCCCCAGATACCCCCGGATCAATTCTTCATTATAATCTATGGGGCCTTGTGGTTTTAATGGTTCCCATAGGCTATAATGGAACAGGAAAAATAGATATTTTTGCACACCTCTATTATGCTTCTCAGTATGCTTTGTAAGATGCCTTGAGCCACAATAAAAATGAGATATAAATCTTTGAATAAATAAGTAGTTTGGGTAGGTCGTTAACATTTAGGGAACTTCCTTTTTGTTAAGTTAGGCAGAGTTCTGACAGTGATTGTTCCACCTCTGTAAATGTGTCATATTTCACTAAAAAAAAAGCCCCAAAGTAAGAGTCCCCCCCCCCCCAAGTGCTGGTATGTTTTCTAAGGCTCAGTGCAGGGCGAAGTCTGAAGCCAGGTATACCAGTGGAGTGGGGCAGGTAAACCTGTTCTCCAGAGATCAGGTCTACCAATATAATGGAAAGGGGCAGGTACACCTGTTCTCTGTAGTCCTGGTCTACCCCCATAGAGGACAATATGAAGACTGTAATGAAATTTGACTTGATTCTGTTTTCTCTTATAAATTATTGTTAAGATATTGTTTAAAAGAATTCATTCTGAGATTTTTACAAGGTTATGGAAATAATCTAAGAAACTAATTTATGCAATAGTCAAATGTAGACTCGCTCACAACTTTAATGCTACTAGCATTTTTCACTCACGAGGTAGCATTTTTACTCACAACACTGTGGTGCTTAGAGGGAACATTGGTCCAAGGTCTGGCTTCCAAGAATTAGTTAAGGCAGAGTCGGTGGCTAGGTGTGTGCAAAAAAAAAAGTGTGTGTTTTTAAATTCAGGCCTATTGGACCCAAAAATATTGATATTCCAAATATTCCTGAATACCAATATCAATTTTGTATTGGGATTTGGGTAAATATTTGGGAAACATGAATTTATTCGTAATTTATGGAGACCATCCCCATCTATATATCTAATAGTGAAGGTGCCCCCTTGCGTGCGGATACCTAAATCCGCGCATCGGGGGCACCTGGGGGGGGATTTTCGTGCACACTTGGGGCAGTCCCCAGTGTGCACAAAAATCTGAAAAGTTGGAAAAAATATCGGGGGGGATACTTAAATCCCCCCAAAGTAAAACAGCGTCCCCTGTGCATGTGCAGGGAACGCTCTTGGAACGGCTTCGGCAGCAGCAACAGGGGACGGGAGGGCAGGACAAGGCTTGGCGGGCTTGCTGGCTGACGGGCGGGGGAGAGAGACGGGCGATGCCCGGCGGCTGCAAGTCGCTCGGGCCTCAGTTCGGAGCTGGGGGGGAAGACCGGAGCCGGGGGGGAGACCGCTCGGGCCTCACTGCAAGCCGCTCGGGCCTCACTTTGGGGGTAGGGGGGAGCGGTGAGGCCCAGCGGCTACAAGCCGTGCGGGCCTCGCTTTGCAGCGGGGGGGAAGGACCGACGAGGCCCGGCGGCTGCAAGCCGCTCAGGCCTCGGTTCGGAGCTGGGGGAGGAGGGGATGGGGGAACCGGCGGGATGGGGTGGGGGAAAGCTTACCTGCTCCTGCTGGTTCCTCCGGCTGCTGAGTTTGGAGCCCCCCCCGCGTGAGTTTCGCGGTTCCGCTTTCTTGTAGGGTATAATGGAGAAGGGTTTTAAACTTTTAAGCTTGCTGAGTTCACTCGCCAACTCGGTGCATGAACTCAGCAAGCATTTTTTGAGTGAACTCAGCAAACATTTAAAGTTTAAATCCCTTCTGAGTTCACTTGCCAAGTCACACCACCACTGCGGCAAGACTCTATGAGTGAACTCAGCAAGCATTAAATGCCTTCTAGCTGTGCCCAAATAAAAGTCAAATAATATAATAGCTTATATTCGGGCACAGCTATTTCAGCTGAATAAATACCTGAAAAATACCAATAAGATAAAAATACCAATAACGTATTTATACAGCTTGGCATATACTGTGCACACACCTATCGGTGGCTTATCACCTATCGTACACATTGTGACCACATCTAACAGCCTCTCTTGGCTGGTTTTTATCACCCCATGTCTAAGGGTCATGCTTACAGCCAGCTGCTCAGACGTAATCCTGCAACTACTCATCTTTGTCATCAGCAAGCAGCTGGTGTTAGGCTAGGAGGCGTGCACTCTGCCTTCTTCCTGCAGTTCTGTTCTCAGCCTCTATCTGTGGTTCTCTAAGGGTGCAGGAAATACTGGTGGGCTGGGAATGGCTAACTGAGAGTCACCTGCAGGCCTGTAGCCAGGACTTTGTGGCTTGTGGGGCAGATTTTTTTTTCTGGTGGGGCTGAAGCCATTTAGCCAATAGAAAGCTGTTTCCAGGATAGATCTCTAAATCACAAGCTGTCAACCACTTTAGATGACTGTTCTCAGCTGCTGCAAGTTAATCACTTCTGCCAGCCTAAGCAACAATTCTGATAACAAGCTGGCAGGTGGGGGTGATGACCAGTGTTCCCTCTAAGCTGAGTCAGTGTGAGCTAGCTCACACATTTTTGGCTTCTGGCTCACACGTTTTTGTCTTAGCTCAGGAAGGATGCCTCCGGAGCAAACTAATTTATGCAGCAGTCAAATTGCTCACTCACAACTTTAATGCCAGTAGCTCACAAAGTAGAACTTTTGCTCACAAGACTTTACAGTTTAGACGGAGCATTGGTGATAACTTCTATTGACAGAAAGCTAACACTTAGGTAGAAAAAAACTATTAAAGAAGACCAGTTTCTTGAACCAGAGTTAGAAGGAATCCTAGAGGTCACCAACTCCAATCCTCCTGCTCAGTGTGGGAATTAGTCAAATACAGCACCCCATTCTGCTTAAAGGAGTGCACACCTTTAAAAAAATGTTTTAAAATTATTGAAAATAGCATTTACAGGAGAAATTCTAGTGGGTTTATGCCTTTAAGAAAGGGGGCAGAGCCCCCCAAAGCCCCACTGAAGCTACCTGGTGAATCAAGGCTGGAGGATGTTGGTGACTCTGCACCAGCTGTTGGCTGTGCATCCTGACAAGCCTGCATCTCATTATCTTGCTGGTCCTGTTAATTCAAGACTGGGTACACTGGGCTCCTCTTCTCCTGAGGAGTCGTCTTCTGAGGAGTCCTCACTATTGTTGAGTTCTGGCTGACCCACAATAGTTTTAAAATGAAGATGGGGAGGAAGTTGGTGAAATGAATGGTTTTAAATGATATGATGAGAACAATAAGCAGAAAATATCAAACAAACAGTATCATCTAAGCCAGAATGGAGTGATTTAAAGGCACTAATTTAATGCTTAAAGAGCTGCAGATAGAACACATACACAGAAGGCATTTTTGATACCTGCCTCCACCTGCTGATGCTCACTGTACCACTCTGAAAGCCATTTTTGAGAGTTGACTGATCTTCTAGAATGGCACAGAATGTTGGTATGATCTGCCATGAAAACAGGAAATCCACAAAATTTCCCTTCTTCAAACTTCCTCAGTTTGCAGGTTTTTAGAATCTGATTCTATATTAGTAACTTTTTTTCTGGCCAGCTGAATGGTTGATCTCAGACATATTATATATTTCCTAAGCATTTTCGTAGGTCATCATGTTTACATTGTCTTTGTGTTTCTGCTAATTCCTGTCTTTTTTCCAGAGTAATTAGGGATTAAATGTGACAATAAATGAATCTAAGGTGTACACGGGTTCTGTAATTACTAATAATTTTCTAATGGGTTTTATGGGAATGTTGAAAAAATTAACTTGCCTGAAGCGATACGTTGGTGCTTTAACAAAAATGAAAGTCTTAGGTTTGTTTGTTTTTTAAAAATACAGATTGAGTACGATTTGGGATATCCAGGAAGTAAAGCAAGAATCATCCATAAAGAATCTGACATTATTACTGCTTTTGCTGTCAATAAGGCGAGTATAGACCACCTTTTTTCCTACAGTGCATTGAATATTTTGAAATGGTATTATGATAGGCTCATAGAAAGAGAGAGTTGCTATAATTGTAGCAGTCTTGGAGATTTTTTTAAATTGTCAGATCCTAGAAAGACCTTTGAAGGCAGGGCAGTCTACAAATCAAATAAATAAATCAAATTCTTGGTTATTCTTGGTTTTGTAAGCATTAAAAACAGTAGTCACTACCATCGTAAAGAGACTTGAAGGTGTAAACATAAGAATGTACCATTTCAGTAATTAGGGAACTTATTATTTACCGTCTCCCCCCACTTTCCATCAGTTTTAATTTATCCAGTGCCCACTTTATGCCCTGCAACATCTCTTAAGAGAGGAATATAGGTATACCAGTTAAATCAACAAAGGGCTATAATATGATTATGAGCAAATCACTTTTCCCTGGATATCTAAGGGTATGCTATATTACAGGTATATGGCTTTGTCTGCGACTTTTCTGTATGCATACTTATGGTAACTACTCATGTGTAAATTGGTAATTTGGTACTACCAGCCAGGGGCATAGCCAGAAAATTTTGAGTGGTGGAACTTTGGGAAATCCGAGGAGCGGGAAGGAGAGCAAGGGCCAGGGGGAGAGAGAAGACCTCCCCAGTGCCTCTATGACTGTTGGAGAGGCACGGGCTTGCTGATTTTCTTCCTGCTTATGCAGTCGTCCTCTCTGACTGTCGGAGAGGCGTGGGCTCGTTAGGTTTACTTCCTGGTTCAGCAGCCGAAGTTGGCTGCAGAAGCAGGAAAATCTCCCCTGGTGCCTCTCCAATGTTCACGGCTGGCGCCTCTCCTTTCTTCGTCTCCAGACCGCCATCTGCCCTTTGGACGGGGCATCCAGCCCTGCAGGCAGCCATTCACAGCACAGAGGGTGGGCGAGGAAGCTGTGGGGTCTGTGAGGCGCTGGAGCAGCTGGCAGCGGGTGAAAGCAAAAGTGCAGTGGGCTTGGCTAACGGGTGAAGGGACATGTCCCCGAAATGCCCCACCATAGCAATGCAGCTGCCACCAGCTTGCCTACATTTTATGTTTAGCATATACTTCATTTTATACTTTGAGTCTCCTAAATAGCCCATCTCGTCAAACTTTTTTTAACAGTTTATTTAATTTTTCCATAAAATTACAGCCATATGCTTTTACATGTATAACATTTTAGTCTACTTTTCCTCTTTTCTTTTTAACGATTCATAAACTCTAGACCATCTGTTTTAAATACATTCATATCTTTACCATACGGTATCATTGTTAAACTATCAATTTCTGCCACTTCTAACAATTTGTATTGTAACTCTTTTATTGTAGGCAAATTATTAGATTTCCAATATTTAGCAATCAAAATTCTTGCTGCCGTTACAATATAAGTCAGCAAATATTTATCATTTTTATTTAAACCATCCGGTATCATATTTAGTAAATACACTTCTGGAGCTAGATCTAACTTAATTGTTAATATTTCTGCTATTAACTTTTGGACCTCTTTCCAAAATCTATAAATTTTTTCACAATTCCACCACATATGTATAAATGTGCCCACATTAACCTTACATCTCCAACAATTCTTAGATACATTAGAGGAACATTTTGCCACCCTATCCGGTGACCAATACCATCTGTAGTACATTTTCATAATATTTTCTTTATAAGATGTACCTTTCAGGAATGTTATTGATTTCCATGTTTTATTCCATTCATCTATTTGAATACTGTGACCGAAATCTTGCATCCACTTTACCATTACTTTTTAAACATTTTCTTCTACCGTAAGGTCTTCTAAGAAAAAATTATATAATTTTTGAATTGTTTTGTTATTCGTTGAAAGCCATATTTTGTCTAGTTCATTTTTACTTCCATAAAATCCCATTTTTTTGTCTTTACTAAATCTGGACCTTAATTGATTTATCTCCTATATTGTTAGTTTAATATCTTTTTGTATCTCTATATCCTTAAGATTATTGTTTTTATCTAATAAGTTATCATATGGTTGCATTTTCTCATTAGTTATCATTGTTGGCATAACAAACGCTTCTAATGGTGAGACCCATCTAGGAATTTTATTATAAATTTTTTCTTTTATTTTCTTCCATACTTTAAATAGTGGGCCTCATATGTAGTGGCTTTGAAAATTAGGATGTATTTTTTCTTTGTTATACCATACATAAGCATGAATTCCCATATATAAATCATGACATTCCAGCTTTAGTACCCTTTGATTTTCCAAAGTCAACCAATCTCTAATCCAAGTAGCCGCTGCTGCTTGGTAGTAGCAATACCAATTTGGTAATCCTAATCCTCCTTTATCTTTCTTTTCCTGAAGCAGTTTCCATTGTATATGGGCTTTCTTGGGGTACCATATAAATTCTCTGATATTTTTATCTAGTTCAAGAAAGTATCTATTATTATTTAATATTGGAATATTTTGTGCCATGAATAAAAAACGAGGAAGAATATTCATCTTTACCGCCACAATCCTACCCATTAGTGAAAGCTTGAGGTCTTTCCATTTATTGAGATCTCTATTTATTTCTCTCAATAATTTATAGTAATTATTTTCTTTCAACATACTGTTTTTGTTTGTCAGTATTATTCCTAAGTATTTCCCCTTATTTACAACCTCTATCTCTATTTTCCTTGTATTTCCCTTATAACGTTTTGTGTACAATTTTTTTGTTACTATATTGGTCTTTCTAGTATTTATTTTTAATCCTGCTACTTCTCCATACTTCCTTATTTCGTCCAACAAAATTTTTATAGAAACCAGGGGTTCCTCCAAAATAAATACCAGGTAATCTGCAAATGCCTGCAATTTAAATTCTTCTCCTCCTGTTTTCAATCCTTTTATATCTTCGTTGTTTCTAATTGAGTCATTTAGTGTCTCCAGTATAAAGATGAAGAGTAATGGAGAAAGTGGACAACCTTGTCTTGTGCCCTTTTGTATTAAAATTTCATCTGTTATATCTCCATTAAATGTTACTTTTGCTGATTGTTTTTTATATATAGCCATAATCATTGTTGAGAAACTAACGAAACCATGTAGTTCCCATTTATTGGTGTGTGAAGTATTAATGTCAATAATGCTCTTCAATGTGACATAACGAGATCTCACCCCCTGAAGCCTTACCTATGATACCATGCCCCACTCCAGTGAGCCTCAGAGTTTGAGATGATGATTACAGTTTTACTGGGTCCCTGGGAGCAAATAGAGGAACCCTCAACAGTTCAGTGTGATTTGTTTTCTAAGCACTTAATAAGCACTGATAAAAGTGTTCACATCTGCTCTGACTGGGACTCTGCTTTAAAAAGTTTATTCAAGTTTATTATTACAATCCAAGATCAGAATTTAAAGCAACATATAGATTAATCTATGGCAAATACATTGATTACATATCAATGGCTGCGGTCACACGCAACATTAGCCACGCAAGAGATACGGAAGACAAGCGGAGTTTCCGGTCGCGATCTCACCAGCACATCTGGGAAGCGTAGCGCTTCTGTGGCACAACTGAGGCTTCCTGCCGAAAAAGCGCAGCAAAAAACTAGTACCTTGGAGGTACTAGTTTCCAGAAACTGCGGGGCAAGGGCGGGCGTCTGATCGCGTTTCCGGTGGTATCCGGCGCCCGCCCATGTCCCCTTGCGGAAAAGGGTGTTTTTTTCCCCCCGTCTCCGTGGATGCGCACACGCACCCAACGGAGCATGCGCATTCGTAGTGTACACAAAAAAAGAAAACCAGTTCGCCGCGCCGCGCGCTTCTTCATTGCGCGCAGGCGTGTGTTGTGATCGGCACCTCTCCCTTGCCATGGAACCTCCACAGTACCTCCACAGAACCTCCACAGTAGGTCTGATCGCTTTACTGCATGTTAGTTTGCCCCGGGGCAAACAGCCACACTTCTCCTCTGCAGTTTCCTGCCCGTGTGACAGGGGCCTGTATATACCTGAGCTGCTAATGTGAATATGTGTTAAGTAATAAAATTGTTAAAATATATTTAAACAATAATGGGTGTTCCCAAGGTGCCCTTTTGTCAAGTTCATGTGGATTCTAAATTAATTGGGCCTGCTGACATGGACAAAATTCTTGGAGAAATGTGGCCTACCCTCTGGATCCATGTCTTTTATGGTTGGTGAAATTGACCCCAAGTAAATTGACATAATTGACATAATTGATGCCAGTTATAAACAATTGCTTGGAAGAAACTGTAATGCCATCAGCCTTAAAGAAATCTTGTTGTGAGACCTTTACTGAAAAGAGAAAAAACCCTCCTTCAGTAGTGCTGATCTGAGTAATCGTAGATTTGTCTCAGACTTTTTCTTTTTCAGGAAGGAATTCCAGGTATTCCTGGATGACACTGGTTATCGGGATACTTTCTGTCTACTTTCTCTACTAGCTATAATACGTTAACTGCCTCAGTTAGCTTGTTGATTCTCCTGGATTTCTCAGAAGTACCACGGATCACAGTATCCTTCTGTACTGCCTGACAAAGACAAGTCTGGGTAGAATTGCCTTGGGCTGGCTCAGCTCATTGCTCAATGGCAGGTTCTAGAAGGTGGTTCTGGTAGACTACTGTTTATCTCCATAGTTTCATGTATAAAGGAATATTTTGTTTTGAGGTAGCAATTAAATATTTTTGACATTAAACTTTTTGACTGAGATTTCTTTTTCTTTTTTTACAATTGTTGTATTGCAGGCCAACAGAAACTGTATTGCTATAGCTTCCAGTCATGATATTCAAGAGCTAGATGTTTCTGGAATTCTAGCTACACAGATATACACTTGGCTTGATGATGACTTAGAAGCAGAAGCTAAAGGGTACTATGTTTTAACCTTTAACATTTGGTAGTATCTCTCATTGTTGTACGTTGCAGTTATATGCTCTTATTTTCAGGACTCCACTTTTTCATTAGAATATCCTGCTTATTCCTGTGAAGTCCTCTATGTAGTTTTGTCCCACACTTGCCTATTTTCAATAGATCTCTTTCCTTTCTGCTTACTCTGCCACTTCTGACATGTGCTAATCTTGCATTACTATTGCAATGAGCCTGTATGGACTGGGGAAACCATGAGCCCTTGGCAACCATTTGCTTAGTTCGGCAAGATTGGCCTGCCCTTCCCTAGCTATCTTCTTAACTAGCCACCAGAAACGTTATAATTTGAATTTTGAAAACCCAGTATATCCTACATGAGCTTGAAACATTAATCTAAGTACTGTGTTGTTGTTGTTAGCCATTCAGTCATGTCTGACTCTTGGTGATTCTATGGGCCAGCTGTCTCCACGTTTTCCAATCTTGTACTGTTTCTAAGTACTAGGGCTGCGCATTCTGGTCTATTCAAACCAAAAATATATCTGAAAAACACCTTATTGGTATTTTCAGGTATATTTTGGCATCCCAAATGTATCTGGGATTTTTGGGGAGAACTGGAAAAAAATCCCTGATAAAATCCCAGATATATTTGGGGATTACTGGCAAACCTAGAACTACATTAGAGGGGCTGGAGCAGATTGCTTCCACCGCTCAGCTGTTTTGGGGCTTTCTTTTGCAGTCCCTTTAAACGGGGGATGTTTAAAGAGACTGCAGAAAACAGCCCACAAAACAGCCGAGGGGGGCACTCTCTCCGCTAGCTCAGCTGTGGCTCTTTTGGGCTATTCAACTTAACTGTGGAAGAGAGTCCCAGCGGAGCCTGCAGGGAGAGTTCTCCCTGCAGGGTTGGTTGCTTTGCAGGCTCTGTTGGGCAGTCCAGTTTAAACTGGGCTACCCAGCAGAGAGCCTGTGGGGAGAACTCTCCTTGCAGAATCGGCTGTTTTGCGGGCTCTGTTGGGCAGTGTGGTTTAAACCAGGCTACCTCGCAAAGCTTTAGCAGGGCCTGCAGGAAGAACTCTCCCCACAGGATCAGCTGCTTTAAAGGGACTGCCCAAAAGGGCCTCAGTGGAACCACCCCTCAGTTGTTTTATTGCAGCTTTGCTGTTCTTCTCCCCCCCCCCCCCCCCCCCCCCCCGTATTTTTTGGTTTGGGTCTATTGGACCCGAAAAAATTCAGGATTTCAAAAAAATCCTGGATCCAAATACTTTACCAGTATTGGGATCTGGGTTTTTTTTGGGAATCCCCAAATTTTGGGGGGTCCAATAGACCCAAACTGAAAAATACCGAGGAAAAAAAATTGCACACCCCTACTTAGTACCTTATTGGCTGTTGAATGAGATAGATTTGCAGATCGAATAAGTGGCCACTGTGCCTTTCACTGGAAAAAGACATATGATACTTGCTGCTCATAAGTACCCATAGTCCTCATTATAGTGTTTCTTCTTTATAGATCTGATGACTTCTTAGTTATACATGCTCGTGATGACCTGGCTAATATTCAGGGAACAACGCCATATACTCACAGCAACCCTGGCACTCCAATCAATATGCCTTGGCTCGGTAGTACCCAGACTGGAAGAGGGGCTGCTGTGGTGAGTTTCTTATTATAAAACTCCTATAGTTATACCATGAATACTGACATTTTAATGTATTTTATAATTGGTAAGTTGATCCTCGTGCAAACTTTTATGTAACCCTGTTAGGACAAATGCATTTGATACATAAAATAACTGCAACAACCCTTAGCATTCTTGAACCATGTGTAAATTTACAGTTTTAACTTGACTTAAGAAAAGATCAAGAAACTGCTGGCTTAGATTGTAGGACAGCAATGAACTCAGTGAGTTTCCTTAAGCAAATCATTATTTTATCATCTCACTGCCTGTCTGTACTATGATGATTGTAAAGCTAGACTGAGAATGTTCATGAAGTGCTCTGAGTACCTAAATACTTGGTGGTGGTGATGTTACTACAATAAATGATGAGTAGGCATGGTCTTGGAAGCTAATTCATTATATTCACATCTGAACCAGATAGATCAAATGTAGGTTTGGTTTAAATTTTTCATCATTGCAGAATAATCTCTCCTTATATATAATTGAGTAGTGGTCCCACAACGTTCTATGCACTCCAAAATCATTTGGCTCCGTAATGTGTCAAACATGTCTCTGGCTGTGTTACCTGAGTTCTCTCCCACCCACTGCAGCCTAGGCCACTCTTCTCTGATTGGGCCAGCGTTTCAAGGTCATTTGCATATGGAAGCTGACTGGACTTCACTCCATTCTGCACCTCAAACTCCCTCCCCTCCAATGAGACAGTTTGTACTGTCAGTTGCATATGGGGCCTGGTGTATTCTGAGGTAAAATATGTCCTCACTCACAACACATCACTTCCCCTTCAAAAGAAACAAACCCAATAACACAATCATGCCACACCACAAAAAAGACAAATCACACCACAAGCAGAATACCACAAGGCAAAAAATGATAGCAAAAGGGGCCAGCAGTCACCCCATTACTGCCACAGATATGTGGCAGTCAGGGCTTCAGAGCACGGTGGGGGCTGCTGGTGGGGGGGGAATGGAAAGCTGATCAATGAGAGGGAAATGTAGGTTGATGCTTGGCTGGGAAGTAGATAGTGTTGCCAACTCCAGATGGGAAAATCCTGGAGATTTGAGAGATGGAACCTGGAGAGGGTGAGGTTTGAGGAGGAGTGGGGCCTCAGACAGGTACAATGCCATAGACTCTGCCCTCCAAACCAGCCATTCCCTCATGGGGAACCACTGTAGCCAATCTCCAGGTGGGGGATGGAGATCACTCAGAATTACAGCTGCTCTCCAGATGGCATTCATCCGTTCCCCTGGAGAAAATGGTGGACTCTGTGTCCTTATACCCTGCTTAGGTTGCCATGGCAAATTGATTCTGAGTGCCCACAGCCTTGGCATTCTCCCAGAGCCTCTTTCTAGCGCTCATTGTATTTATCTCCACAATAGGCCTTATTCCTAGTTTGTTAAATAAAACAAAACTAGAAGCCTTGTGACCTAACTGTGGCCTGAGAAGGGGGTAAGACATTCCCTCTCACCAGTCTTCTTCAGTGTGACTGAAATGACTGCTGTATATGGTGGGAAGGAGGCAAAGCCTTATGCGGTTACCTATTAGGATGATTTTTGATGCCAGGCAGTGTGAGAGCAGTCAGAACCACTGAAGCCTGGTAGAGTTTAGGGTTTGTCTTGCCTTCCTTGTTTCATAGCAGACCGGATTGTTAAGCTCAACTCAGTTTGTAAAATGTTTAAGCGCAACTCAGTTTGTAAAATGTCTTCAGTGTTTCTTGTACTTCATTGGTTTTCACGTCCTTACCTCAAGAAGACCCATAAGACAAGATATAGTTTTTCTCATCATGGTGTTTAGAACAGCTTTCTTTCATGAATCTCTTAAAGGAACAGAAGCGTCCTGTGGTTTGGATATGGCAGATTTATATCTGCAGTAGCTTTCTGGCCATGGCCTACTTTCATCAGCTCATTTTGTCTTTAGGATTGCCTTGGTTTTCTTGCTACTGAATGGGGATCCATAGTAGAGAAATCAAGGCTGTGATGCTTTCCCCACTACTCTCTTTCTCCGCCAGGAGATGATTTCCCTGCTTAATATCTTTTAATTTAAAAACTCAGGAATAGAAGGAAAATAAGGTAGCAACTTCCCTTACCAGTCCACAGCTCCATATATTTGTAACCCCAGGATGCAGGACTTCTGTGCCTTTTTAAAGGTTGTATGACATGCAGGAGTAAAACAGCTGCACCTTTTTCAAACTGATAGATGCTTTTGGAACACTTGCTTCTGCAGAATTTCTGCAAGTCATAAACCTTTTGAAAATGCAAGAAAAAAAGGTAAATTTGCCAATAAAGTTGCACTTCATCCTTTTCTTTTGGTGGTTTTTTTCAGTTCTATGCCTCTTTGTTTCTTCAAGTCCATGCTTTTGCTCCCAAAGCCTAATCTGTCCTAACTCTGTCCTAACTATCTTCCAGAGTAGTTTTTCCTGTCCATAAAAAGCCTGTGTGAAGTCTGAATTGTAGCGAAACTTCTCTTTCAGCACCTGCCTTCTGCAAACCTGTTGCACTTGTGGTTGTATCATGCTTTAGTTTTCACATTTTATTTTATTATTGGCAAGACTTTGGACGGGGGAGCATGCAAAATCCAACTTGTATAGACAATATGTGTGTGTGCATGTGTCTTTGGGACTGGATATGTAGTAGTAATCATTATTTCCTGATTGAAGAAAAGTTTGGTAAGTTAGGTCTGTATGAGGTGAAACAAGAAGAAGAATAAACAAAGTTGATACACAGTAGTGACTTACTTTAGTGTATGTAATATCTTTTGAAAAATGACTGAAAATAGATATTTCTAGGTACACTGACATACAGCTTTTATTCCAGGGCTATTTTTGGGCAGGATCGCACAGGAACGGAGTTCCGGCTGGCTTCAGAGTTGGCCACGCTCACTACAGCCAGAACCTCTGCATGCATGGCTACAGAGGGAAGGCCTGGAGAGTGCCCCCCCGGCGACTCCAAGGCAGGAAGGCCGGGGGGGCCTGGAAGGATTGGGGAAGCATTTAAATGCCTCCCTGTGCCTTCCCCGGCCTGCCCAAGGCCAGCTTTCCTGGGCTCCCCATAGCCACGGGGCGCCTGGGCAAGCCAACAAAAGGCATGGGGTGTGACCTAATATGCTAATAAGGTGTGCTGTCAAGGGTGTGGCCTATTATGCTAATGAATTCCTGC